GAGTATTACATCAAAACATCAGTGGCGGAAAGGCCATGCTAATATGGTTACACAGGTAGGGAAGTATGCACTATAAAACAGGAGAACACATCCTGGGACACTTTAACAGGATAATTATGTGCAGACTGAGGAGAGCGGCCCGTAGCTCTGAGCACACTGTAGTCCAAACACACCATCACAAGCACATGTTTGAATCAGCACACAGATTAAAAACACCGTCCTCTTCTTCTGGGAAATACAGCTGCAACCCCTCACAAAAACATTTCATATACTGCGGAGAGACAAAAGTGCAAAAGTAACCGCTGACCTCTGAAAGTTATGAAGGAGAATGTATCCAGTTCAAAAGGTGGTCCTAACCAAACAACTGATAAAAACAGCCAACACAAAGCCCTGGAGGTGGAGTGTTATGTCTGCCCCTCCATCGCTCTCTCATTCTTTCTCTCGCGCACTCTCTCTCTCTATCTCATTCTCTCTCGTTCTCTCTCTCTCCACACTGCACCATAAGGAGGTCTTAAGAGGAAACTTTTAATCTGGCACTTTTCCTGTCTTTTCCTTTAGGAGGATCATTTATGTTTCGGATAAGATGATACTTTTAAACAAACATACTCAGAACTAGGGGAGGGCAAAACAGTGAATCATGTGTTTTCCCCTCTTTGCTCAGATCCATCATGATTTTCAAACAGTGTTTTGTTTTTTTTTCTTTTACAATATTTGTAATTGAAAAATATGTTCATATTGAATGTATGTCAAAACCTGCAAATACACAAGAATATCTCCTGATCCAGACCAAAAGGCTGTGTGCCAGATCCTTGCTCACCGCTATTGTAATAAAATGCATGCCTGACATAGCTGCTCAACACATTGTAAAGGGAGGCATACCACAGCCATAAATGTCTTCATCATCTCAGACCTAACAGTGATTGGGGCCCATTCACTGACCCACACAGAGACTCACACGAGGTTAGAGCAACAATGAAGCACTACTACCTTATACTGCCTCTCCTTGGGCGCAGCTGGGCCCCATCTCCTTCCTTTGCTATGCTTCACCAATTAGCAGTGTACATTAGTGTCATACTCCTGTGATGTGTTATTTACAAAAAGCACAATGGTTGATCGATGTGCTAGTGTAGTGGTAGAAGTTGGAGTTATGATTTTTTTTTGACAAAGTATATAAATGATATTAAAACTAGTACTGAAACAGCTGATTTGATGAGGTTTTTATTCTATAATGGTCTGTATTAAAACAAAACATATATTAAATTATTCTGGGTTAGAAATAAGATTATATCAACCATAGAACTAGTGCTAGTTTACTCCTGATTTATACCAACCGTAGAAATAGTTTTATGTGAAGATGGCGCAATGGTTTAGTCTTAGTCGTGGTTAAAGCTGCACCGTGTAACTAGTCCGGTGGAGGTCCTGTCACCTGCTTGTCTCCATGTAGATGTGCCTAGAATGTTCCACAGTATAGCCATAAACTTAAGAATCTCCATGGAGACTTGCAGGCCAAATTACTCATTAGATCTGTGGAGAGGTGTCCCCAGTCACAGTAAGACTCAATGCTTTTAAACATATTTTTGAGACAGAAATAACACCTATAGTTAAATAAATGCAAGGCAGACTATTTTAATACCATACTGTGGACAATTTAAACCAAAGCATTAACATCTCCATGGACACAAACAGGTTGCAGGACCCTCTTCACAAAATTTACACAGTGCACCTTTAAGAATATTGCCACAGATGAGTCAGTCTAAATTGTGTTCTGAGAGTAGTCCTGTTTAGGACTGGCATTTAGATCCTGGTTCACTTCTCTTGTTTAGTCTCTGATATGTCTTTGTTTTAAGTCTATGTCTGGAAAATCAGAAAATCTGAGAACCACTACATTTGTGTCAACAATTTTCTGACATGGCATTATACTAGTATGCACCTATTGTATCCTGTTCAAAAGTCACTCCACAGTGAGGCCTGTCCATGGGAATGTCCTACAGCAGGCTAATTAGTCCCAGATCCAACTGCACTATAATGTGAACCAGACCTGGAACATACCGCCATATAACAGAGCACTTCCTGATAACCATTCCTCTGTTTTGTCACATCATGTAAACAAACAGACTTCAAATCCCCCCACGCTCCTTGTTTGCTCTGGGCTTATAGTTTTATTCATGACTTTGAGGGTCATTTCTGTAGCCACATACTTGGGAGAGCGGGTGTTGTGATCATAAAGCTGACAATGTGTGAGAAAATAAGCAGAGCTGAGGAGACGGGATCTACATTGGGGTCAAGGGATCAGTCACCTCCTACTTCCAGACTTTTAAATTCCTTGCTCCATTTTGATGAATGACTCCTGAGAAGATTATTATTAGCAGAGGTGAGTAGAATAGAACTCAAGCAAGAATAATATTACTTTTGAAGATAAGGTTCAGAAGTGCATCGTTTGAATCATAAAAAAAATGTCAACATACTGCTTTTGTTACTTTACTCAAGTACAAGTTAAAATATGATGAAATAAATACTTTTAAAAGTACAATTTCTCAAAATGTAACTGAGTACTTCTCATCTCTGATTATGAATACATAATTATAATTATGAATAATATATTGAGTCTTTGAGTTGTGACTATCAGCAAGAAGCTTTTTGATCAAACTTTTTTGACTGAAATCCTCCACATTGAAATGCAAATAATGTATTACACCCTACTCTTATATGGGCTACTGCATAAAAAAAAAATGCTATGGGGACCCCGGTACTATACAGGACAATCATGCTGTGGATACACAGATCAAACCAAAAACACACCTATGAGTCGCATTATCACAGGCAAGAAAACTATTGACAACATATTGACCAGAGTAAATGCTTGTTGCTTGCAGTAGGGCAGGTTCAGAGCTCATGAATGCACCTTCCATTTAATCTCGTGTTAGTTAGGGGTCATTGATCAGTCATCTCCCCTCCAGACCACTACTACAAGAGAACATGTGGGAAAGTACTGACAAGACACCAGCCACACAAAACCTCACCTTTGACCCCTCAGTGAGATACATGAAAGGAGACTGCTTGAGCTTATCTCCAGATGGGCTGCAAGATGGTTAACTATTCTGTCCCATAAGGGGTTTTAAAACGAAATAGACAGGATAGCCTTAAACCATACAGAAGAGTTAATGCAAACCTATCCTCTGGCTACATCTGGTTTGTGCAATTGATCAAGTTTGAGTAACTATTCAAGTAGTTTCTAATCATCAATGATAGGCTTGAGTCTTTTTAATCAATGGTCCTCAGACAATCCTTTCAGTAAATGCATTTGGTTTGAAGTTCACACTTTGGCAGAACAAATTTCATATTTTTTGTGTTAAATGTCAATGATTAAACACCTGTATTGTATATGGTCAGGAAATATTGAAAGACCAAATCAATCAAGTAGAAAAATGTGATGAGGACATGCCTCCAGTGACAGGGAGCCACTAGATTTAAAGTAAAACATATGTGCCATTCAATAGTTAATCATGTGTTCATGTCTTGGTGATGTTAGTTTGATCATGGCTGGCCTGTAGCTATAGCCACTACTTGGTCAGACCTCAGAGGCTCCACCCTTGCTGCAGATGTACAAAATTAATATTGGAGGGCATCTGATGATTACATTTCTGTCTACCCAAACTCACAATGAGATTTCATAGCAATAACCGTCTCCTGCTGTTTTTGAGATGAAAGCTCGCAACACTGAGTCTATGAAACGGGACTTTGCAGCGGTCAATATGAGAGCCAAGTGTATGAATAACTGTACAGACATTTTTAGAACTGTTCCTTGTTACTGCTGTTCACTTACTAAAATGAACATAAGAAGCCAACATACAAAATAGAAACATCATAATATGTAGGCTATGGGTTATTGTGGCTGTAAGCTCAGATGGTTCAGGTTAGTGTTAGACTCTGTACAAACACCCCCTACTGCTGTCCAAGCCCATTCAGGCCACTTCTCCAGCCCCAAAGACCCAAAGCAGAGACTTCTGTTCATTAGTGCAGACTTCACTTTATTTACATCATGTCTTCATCAGGCCTCACACTGCACTCACAGAGAACACTGTATAAATCACCAGTCTAATGAGCAAATCTGTCTGAGCTCCTCTAAATGAAATAAGATTCAGAAAGAGGAGTTTGCTCACTCCATTATTCTTTTTTTCCAAGCTTGTAGTTGCTTGACTTTATTGGGTACGGACTTACAGTAATGCCACATCAGTGAGGTCATAATAGACTAAAATGTAAGGCCAAAACTGCAAAAGCTGGGGGTAAAAGGTGCTAATGATTAGCCCTCCAAGCCCTACCCCCTGGCCCTTTCACTTCATACCAAATGGCCAAGTCCTCAGAGACACAAAACAGGAAATCTCAGCAGTGCGCACCCCCCGCAGTGGGGGTAAATGAATTAGCATGACTGACAAAGATACCAGATCACCTCAAGCTATGCGTCCAATTAACATGACAACTACACAGTGGCCTTTTGAGTCTGACACAAGCACCTTTAATCAAGACTACGTGCCGCAAAAGGACACATGTCAACAAGCGCAGAAAGGACAAAGGCTTTGAGTGGGACTGAAACCTGCGGGAGGGGACCCCCGCCCCAAACACATAGGCAAGGCCTACCTCCATTTTATCAAAACTTATTGAGAACATTTTAAAAACACCTTTTCAATAACTAAAAGTTAATAAATACAGTGGGACTACCAGACATGATGCACTGTTGTCATATTGATCACATTTATCTGAGGATTTAAGGAGTTATGGACGGAACCGTTTGTTGCTGCAACTTGAAAGGTGCCTAAACGTTATAAGCCCTGTACACATTTCTCAAAAGTGTGAAGCTCCCGGTAGGCTATGTTAAATTAAATAGGCGATTTAAGCCACCATAAGCGATCAGATCATCAAGTCAGCAGCGCTGGAGCATCCGTGCACATTCGCATAAACTTCAGCATCCGCTCACATTTAGTACACTATCGGAGGTAACTTACCATGGCACCTCAGGCTCTGAGGTAAAATGAATATCCAAAATAAGGTCCTGGTAAAAGTGGTCATAGCGTCAAGAAACAAATCGTCGCTAAACTCTGTTGAGTGAGTGAAGTTGGTCACATCCAGTCGAAGCGTCCCTCGCAGGAGGCTCTCTGCTCCTGATCTGCGCTGCTCAAGTTGCGGGGTGCAACATGAAGTTGGTGCGGGAGAGACACGAGTTTGAAGCTAGAAACAAAGGCGCGTTCATCCCGTGAAGAGGTACGAGTCCAGCGAAGATGTCGAGTGCTGTGCGCTCTGTGAGCAGTAGATCCTCAAGTGGCCCCTCACAGAAAGTCTTGAGTTGGAATGAGGGGCAAGCGCACGCGCCTTCTCTCACGCGCAACTTAAAAGGTGTCACCCCGCGCCACCTACAGGCCACCTGGTGATAGAAAAGGCTACTGACAAAGCGCAATCGACTTGAATATAAAGTTTTAAAAATGTCTTTCTCATGCTTTTCTGAGAGCGACTTAAAGTGAACAATAAGTTTAGAAGGTCACTTAACAAAAAGATCGACTCATAGACCTATATGAAACCAATCAAATTGTATTTGTAATGTGTCATAATAAAAATATCCATAATATTAAAGTCATAATATTATTAAAACGTAAATAAAAGTATACCAGGTTACAAAACAGAGATAAATTGTCAACCAGAGTTATCTTATTTAAGAATTATTGTTTAACTTTTACTTTATTCTATCAAGAGAAAGTGTGTTACTGTTAGCAAAACAGTAAGGGCACATGATAAAACAAGAATCATTCAAAATGACAAAAAAAAAAGACAAAAAAGTTCTATGAATAAAAATATATAACAACAAAGCTGCACACAGTATCCAGTGAGCAATGTTCAGTCAATATACACCAGTGCTCTTCACAGTGACATCCTACTGCCCACTGACACCTCCATATTCATTTAAGGATAGTTGTCACTGCCTCTTTGATACAAGACACAGCCTTCTGTATGTCTTCTTCAGTCTGTTCAACAGTGATCACCACCCTGATGCTGTACACAAACAAAAACATACAAAATCAAAATACTAAAAATCACAAATTTGTTGAAAGCATTTAGAAACATTTTCAGTGCATTTTCAGGAAAACACATTACCTTGGAGCAGGCAGAAAACGTTCTTCTTTCTCCAAATATCTTGCAAGAGTTAGAGCTATGCTACGTTCCATACACTGACAACAATAATAAGAAAAACATTAGAATAATATTACAAATAGTCCTTATTTAGTTTGACAGCTAATGGTCTGAGTTACATACATATTCTACAATGTTGCGAAGCAGCTGCATATCAGAGTCTCGGGAGCCTGTAGTTCTTTCAAGTTGCAAGTGGAGGGCTGGAGCAAAAGGCATTCCCACCAACTTCAAACCAGGAATACTGACACAAACAAGCAACAAGATGAAAGATAAATCCCCTACAGAAGCCTTAAAACATGACACAAAAGTGTGAAGCTCACAGTGGCTAGAAGTTATTTGTATTTATTTAAGAAAGCCAAAGAGAGGGCATATGGAGAATGTTTAGTATGCCGTCTGTGTAATCATTGATTCACTTACTCTTGTAAAGCCTCATAAACATGCTTGCACTTTTTTCTCAGGACAGAGAAGATATCTGCTTGACACAAAGAGCAAATTACACAAATGTACAAGCTGATTTAAAGGAGAACTATGTAACTTTTTGATTGGGGGTCCATCACCTGCCTGTTTTTATGGGAATGTCATTGCTCTGCCTTAAATGTTCGACAGTATAACATTAAACAGCTCTACCTTACATTTATTCAATTACAGGTGGTTTTATAGCTCAAAAATACCTAGAAAAGCAGGCATTCTGACTGTGAAGGTGGTTGCCTCTCCACAGATCTGACCAGTAACTTGGTCTAGTTTGGTTTCCATGTAAATAGAATGGTTTAATACTATATTGTTAAACACTCCAGAGAAAGCAATAACATCTCCCTGGAGAAAAGCATTTGACTGACCGTCCACCAGAAAAGTTACACTTTTAAATGATTCTATAAAACATACAGATAAGTCCAGTTTTACCTGGATCCTCCTCCATGATATTTAAAGCTTCAATGGCCGCAGCGGCCAGCATTGGAGGCAGAGAGGCAGAGAAGCAGTAACCCTGACCTGAAAGACGCTAGAAACAGAATAAACTTTTTTAAAAAATGAATCTTTACTTGTACAAAAGATAAAAAAAAAAAAGTTTACCTGGTGGTCAATGACAAAGGAGCGACCACAGCAGAACCCACCGATGGAGGCCACGGCATTCTCCATGTTTGCACTAATCAGATCAATATCGTCTATCTGCAAGAGGAGATTATAGGTAAATAATAATAATAATGAGATTTTGCTTATATATGGAGAAACTAGAAAAGGAAGACTATAGAGATACAGAGACATCCTGTGCAATGCTAGTGTAAAGACAGCAGCCATTAGTCTGAAGCCCAGGTTAATTCTAAAAACACAAAGTTTATGGAATTACAGCAACTTGGAAACACACAAATCATTCAGTGGTTCAGGGATGTCAAACTCTAGAGCTGAGCAATCACAGTAATGACCCTGTTTACCATTGGATTCATGCCAAATATATACATGCTTTAATAGGCTGGTTTGTAGTACACAACTGGATCATGTCTTGTAAATTGAGACCAGTATGTTGATTCAGGAACTAATTTAAATTACATGTAAGTACATATTCAGTATAAAAGAAACTCACATTAACTCCAAAATGCTCTGTGACCCCTCTGCCATGTTCTCCCAACACCCCGAAAGACATGCTCTCCTCCAGGAAGATCCGCACTTTGTACTTGTACTTCAGTTTTACCTGATGATGCACAAAATGCAAATAGTACTAGAGTTTAATAAAACAAAAATGAATATGAATACTTCATAAGAAGGACAGTTGTTTTAGTTCTACAAACCAGGTCAGGGAGCGGACAGACATCTGCAGTGTTTATGTACAATCCCTCAACTACAATGAACTTCCGTGTCACTCGTGCCTTTCTGGGATTCTGAAAAAGTATATAAATGAATGCAACAGAAAAAGTGAAATATAACAATTAGACATTTTACCTTCTGGTCCTCCTGTTCCTGCTCTCTCAGCAATCTCTCCAGATCTTCCATGTCATTATGTTTAAAGTATTTGATAAAGCTGCGAGATGCTTGAAGGCCTTTCTGGATGGCAAAGCAGGCAGCCTCATCTCTGGATATACAAGACAAAACAATGGTAACTTCTGCATTCTGAAAGACAATACAACTTTTAGCAGTAAAAATACTAACACAAAGATGATGTCCCCCCTCTTGGAGTAGGCTGGTATTGCACTAGCAATAGTTGCAAAACCATAAGAGTAGATAATAGCCTCTTCAGTGTTCATAAATTTGGCCAGACGACTTTCCAATTCCAGGTGAACATCTATTGAAACAAATAGTTCATTATTAACAAAACAATAACATTCTGAGTGACCTGACTAAATGATATTTATGTGAAAGAGTGCACCTATACCTAGACTTACCAAAAGTCCCATAGAAGCCTCTTGGACCACATGTACCAACACCATATTTCCTTAGGGAAGTCAATGCCTTTTGCTGAATTTAGATAAAAATGTATTCATACTATCACTATACATTTGTCAATAGTTATGTGTTTTGATTGTGAGAAAAGGTAACTTACTTTGACACGATCATTTTCAAGTAGACCAAGGAAATTAAAAGAAGCAAAATTAATGCATTCTTTTCCATTGATTATAATTCTGTGACTGGGAGGCCTGTAATGATAAGAAAATGAAATATTTTATGTATAGGGCAGGAGTTGTCATTGATTGACCATTTGAAATTAAAGTTAAGTCAAGTTAAGTTTAAATTAAGTCAAAGAGCTTTACCCTGTTACAACATCATAGTTAAATGAAGGATGGTCTTTGGAAACAGGAGGGACTAGTGGCTCTGGTTGCCATTCCTCGATCAGATCCTCCTTTTCCTGAAAACAGGTTTGGTCAATTACTTTACTATTTACACTACATTAGTTGCTGTTTGCTGGTATTTACACACTTTACCTTCTCTGTTAGTTTATGTGTCTCATGTAGCCTGTAGGTCTTGGAGAAGAGCAGTCTTATTATCCACAGAATGAGAATCCCTTCCAGAATCAGATGATAAGCAGGTGCCTGCAAAAAACAGGATAAGAACGGGGTCATTGGCTTATTAGGTTTGAGTGTGGCTGCTGTGGTAATTGGGTGTGAGCTGATGGCATGTAGAAGTGTTGGGTTGTGTTAGCTAGTGTTATTTCTCACAGACTCTTCTGTGCCAGAAAAGCTTTTGTTTACAATATGAAAACAACTGTTTATTTGGAGGTGTCAGACATTTTACCATCATTCTCAAAGAGAATGTCAAGAGTCTAGACATGACATCAATGTAAATCGGTAGTCAAATTGACACATTTCATTCAGGTTTTAAAATTTTGTGTTGGTAGTAAATAACTCAACATGAACTTGTTTCAGTAAATGTATCAAATATGCTTCTATGCTTTGCTATGCTAATCCAATTAATGTCCTAAAGCACATTTTGCTGACTGGTCACACAAAGCAATATTTAACACAAAAGAACATTAACAAACTTCGATAGTCTCCAGGCATGTCAAACATCGCCCCATCAGTACTTCCTGACTGAATTTCAGGTCACGTTAAAAACGCTTAAAGTAACTTTTAGCGGAGATCACGTGAAGAAACACATCAGGGAGGCGTTCGAGCTACAACTGTTGATACAATTATAAATAAAAAGAGAAGTTTAAATGGAGATTTTACCTCATAAAACGCTTGCACCATTTCCACCAACACCCACTGCTGACCGGACGCCATGTTTATTCTACTCTGCAGCGTCATCAGGCGTGCCGCGTTCACGTACTCCATAAAAAGGTACATTGTTTATACCAACACCGTGAACGCGTCTTTTTGACAGAAGATATGGGATTGGGAATTATTAGTTTGATGAACCATGATATATATTGATTCGTTTCAGTAAACTATAAGGAACTATAACTGAATATCCCATGTAAGAGATCCGACCAACACAACCAGACAGAACCATTTACATAGTTAGCATACACATAAATACATACATGCATACATACATGCATACATTTATTTATATTTATTTAAAATTATTGCCAGAATACATTTTAATGAACATTTTTGACAATGTAGCTGGACATGTGGTACACAGTACAGTGGTAGTCCACTACATCATAGAACTCACAATTATGTTGTGGGCTATAGGCCTACAAAACATCATCATAAATCAGTCCATAATAAAAAATATGCAAATGATTATTCCTTAAAAAGTACCGACCAGTGTGACACTGGGTAAGTTATTTTGCAAATCTGTGGAAAATGATCCGCGTCAATTACTACTATATCAAATTTAAAAAATATATTATTCCAGCATGTGTTGTATTTAGCAAAGGGCAGTGAAAAAGAAAAGAGGTAGCTTAATAAATCTGTGAACGGTTTATTTACTTTGAGATTCTACTCACTTATAACATAATTGCAAATTGTAAAGTAAATAAATATTTTTTTAAATGTATTCTTATTTTAATTTTGATATTTTAATTTCCAGAACAGCAAACTGAGGTAAACTGCGAAGTAGTAATCATTATGATATGGTCCTGTTAAAGCCCTCCATGTGTTTTTCAAGCCACAGCTCAGCCAGCTGCATTGTTGAAGCATATGTACTCGCTCTGGACCCAAGGCACATTTTGAATTGTTTTTGCTCCAGACTGGCATTACAGTGAACAGGATGATAAATATGCACAATTCCTGGTTCTTGGCTGCGCAAAACTTTTAAACCAGAATTAATCATTTTAGTGTATAAATCTACATCCTCCAAGCCCCATCCCAAAATGGAGGTATCAAAACCTCCTGCTTTTATCAAATCACTTTTAAAAATACAAGTGATTCCAAAACCATAATCACGCCAGAACCCACTTTTTTTAGTGATCACAAATTTGTTATCTCTTGGATTGTTTTCTGCATAAACTATTTTAGGGTTGTACTGGCTAAAAACTATGGGAAAATATACTTGTACACCCTGAACAGTATTCTCTCTGCATCGTTGCACGGCATCAGCTGTAAAAATAAGATCAACATCACAGAAGAAGAGGAGAGTGTCATTGTCGAGCAAAGCGGAGCCGATCTCCAAAGCAAGTCCTCTTGAGAAGTTTCCAGTCATAGGAATAACAGTGAGGTCTGCTCTTGGGTACTTTTTGCTGTAGTCTTCAATTAACTGAGCATGCTTCCCTTTCAGTTGACTGTTTTCATTTTCAACTAGAATTATGGAGAGTTTTACATTTTGTTTAGGAATCAAACAAACTTTTTCAAAGTTGTCCATAAAGCGCACAAATATTTCATAACGACCTGACAGTGGTACAAGGATGTGGACTTTCTTCTGACTTTGGTCCCACATCTCCTTGGTCGGCTCATAAAACTGAAAAGACAAGAACTTCAGAGAGTTTGACAAAAAACTCTGTGACTCAGAGTTTATGGCAGCCACAAGTTCATTCACATCCAACTCTTCAGTCTCAGTGACAAAAGGCTGGCTGAAGGACTGCTGCAGATAAGCATGCCGCCTCACAGGCACTGTTATCTTACGTCCTTTATGCTTTTTGTACAAAAGCAGTAGATCTAATATGTATTCAGCACCATGCATTGGATCTACTCGGTAATAACCATACTGCACCTCTTTAAAGTCAATAACACGGCCGCGTGTTTTTGAATTCTCATTTATCATTTCCATGACTTGCATAATAATATCTTCTAATGCAGTTCGAAGAGAATTTCCAAGGCTTTGTCTCGCCATCTTGTTTTCTACTGCAGAGTAAATATGGCGGCCAGTCAGGAAATCCCACTCAATCACATCATTTCTATCACTGGGCTGGAAGCGCATGTATGAAGGTAGAGCACCCAGCTGTTGATCCTCCCATAACATCTGTGTGTCACTGGCTTGGCTCATGATTAGTGCTTCACGATGAAGCAGGATGCTGCGATAACGAAGTCTGGAAATCTCACGGCTCAACATGAAGTTGTGGAGTCTGTACTGGTATGCAGGCCGTTTGTTTGGGTGAAGCGTGATAGCATTATGGATCTTTGGGCTGTGAAGTTCTTCGATAAAACCTTTTTTGTGTTCATAGTTCTCATAGAAGAGTTGCTGCATCTGTGGAAACAGTTACCGGATGGCTTAACCAACAATAAAAAGTATATTTGATTTTTTTTGTGTCAATCATAAACATTATGCTGCGACTCTGAACATACCTCATAAGACCACACACACTGTGTCCCTCCAAATCTCCGCACACAGCGTCCCACCTCCACATCCTCGTGTGTGGTGTACATCTCTCTGAGACATGTGCCAATGTGAGGAACCATCCTGCGTAGCACCTCTCGACTGAAGATCATCCCAGGACCCCCCATACAGAAGTTCTCTCCAGGTTCAAGGGCCAACCTGCCTAACTCCTCTGCCATGCCCAGGCCTGTCTGACCAAGGTACAGCGGTTTACTGCTGTTCAGAGACCGGAGAAAGGACTCCAACTTTTCACCTGTCATGAGAAAAAATGGATTAAACAACCTAATATGTCCCACACGACACAATCAAGAACAATCACCTCTTATGTAGACATCATCATCAGCCCGCATGAACCACTCGTACTTATCCAGGTAGTGGTCATGGATGTATTTGAGCATCATAAATGATTTCTTCTGTGGAGGGTAGGAGTCATCCACACCTGTCAGTGAGATCACAGGGACGGGGACGGGCATAGGGACCTTGTCTGAGCCAGCGCTGGAGAAAAACTCCACCTTCCCGGGAATGGAGTGTGCCCAGGTTTTGTAAGCAGCCACTGCCCGATACGTCAGGTACTTTTTGGCAGTCATGACACCAACGTAGAGGAATAGTCTGGGCCGACTGATGGTCCCGTTGTTCTGACCACTCCGCTCAGTGTTGGACAATTTGTCCGCTTGTGAGGGTATCTGGGAGCTGCCACGGTCAGTCGTAAACGCGGGGTCCCCCTGTACCGCCGGTGTTTTTCCAACGGAGACATCTCCATAGTATGAACATACAGAGGGCTTCCTACGTTTATTGTCCAAAACCTGTGGCACAATGAGCCATGTGGACGCAGTGAACCCAACAAAGATGCCAAAAAACAGAGTTGTCCACGGTCTCCTGGATTTCAGAGCCATAACTAAAATCAGACTCCAAATTTACCTCTGCGGTGTAAAACATGAATAGACCCGTTGTTTATCATCTGTGCTGACGTGTATGGGCACCCGCGCTCTGTGGGTAAAGCTGTGGAGCTGTCCAATGGAGTTTTCGCCATTTTCATCTTCAATTATTAATGCGAATTAGTTTCTCTTCAGGAAGAAGCAACCTTTATAGCCCCGCTTTCTAAACTGCATCACAAAAGTTACATTTCATTAGCCAGGCAGTGAGCCGCACTACCTCACACTTGAATCACAAACCAGTCCCGTTATCCTGCAGTGATTACTGTCTTCATTATTAGAATAGACTTATTAGCATAGCTTCGGGGTTTTTGGGTTTTTGTGGTGAAACGCGCGGTCTCGTCTTCATCCCGGCTATACGTAATACGTAACGCTTCAATGCGCAAAATTAATTATCAAAAAATAAATAAAATTTGCTTTCTGAGGTTGCTACAAAAACAGAGCAGGCAAGTTGTCATCGTGAGACACCTTTTGTAAATACCACCAAGTAGCACCAGTCGCGCTTCCTTTGCATTTTTTTTTTTTCAGAATTAAATTTGTCTTATTTTGTTTTACTGCTCTTAGTGTGTGAATTTTCTCTCAATATCTATTCACGTCAAAACTATTAATAGTAAAATTAAACCTCTACTGAATCTTCCCGTTGATAATTTCATTTTAATAAAAAGACCATTATTAATTAAACCTTTAATGTTTTATTATGAAATTTGTGCTGGCCTGTTCAATGGCTCTAAAATAGACATCCGTTCACGAGTTACTTCTACAGGTTAACCAGCAGATGTCAGCAAAGTACGTTAATTGTTGTTTGGGAACAGAAAAAAAGAGTCGCTACATGTCATGCCGTTTGTTAGGCATATCCTGTAATTTTGCCTATTTTTGAGCTTTAAAGACAATTTTGGAAAAGTCAGTTTTTTTTAAAGAGCCTACATTTTGCTATTCTCATAAACTCAACATAATCTATGTTATAATGTTGTATCCTCATCACAAGGAACAGGAGTTGTATTTTGTTTCATTCACACAAGTTCTTCTCTCAGACTGAAAACACTCTTTTCCACCTTGTGATCCACTGTGTTTTTAAACTTTAGATACCTTCACTAGAATCATTTGGATAATTTCAGCTCTGGAATTGCCGGTTTTTACTGAACTAAAGGGAGCTGTTAACTAAAACTACCTCCACATGACATCACAAGGTGGGACAGAGCATCTTGAGCTTTGAAGATGTAGATAGAGGGTTCCTCAAACATGTGTGAATGAAACAAAACACAACTCCAGATAAGTTTTTGATGAGGTAACAGCATTATAAAGCTCACAAATATCAATTTGCAATAATATAAGACCTTTAAATAATGAAAAATAAAGTGTGACATTTTTGAAAAATCTAACCCAATAAACATGGGCCTGATGCTATAAACAACACAAGCTCACTTTCCCAGTAGGCCTACTTGTTTCAATTTCATTGACTGAATTTCAATTGTAGCCTCTGATTTCAAAGGATGAGACTTAAGCGAAAGAAGCCGCTGTCTGATTGGCCATGCTCCCGGTCACGTGAGCAGAGTCCCGCTGTGGCTCTTTAGAGAAAACTTTGGATTCGTGGTGTTGATGGCTTGCGCACACAGTCTCGGCTCTCTCACTTGACCGAGTCTGCTGTACAACTTTTCTCTGATCATAAAGGGATTTTCTTAAGACAGCGCCAGGAATTATTAACAATATCCTGGACCAAGACGGACCCATGAGACTGAGGAGAGCCGGCATTCTCTATTAAAACAGGTGAATCACTATACACGAGCTGCTGTGAACATTTTAAACATTTGCATTTAGAAACTGTAAATGCCTGACTTTGTGCTCAATAAATAGGTAATTAGTAACGATTAGCTTAGTGCTTTACGAAACAAAATATTGTGTGAAAAAGGCTAAAAGTTTCAAGACTTACTTGTTAACTGCCCCATGAAGATGTTATGCTTTTGCCTGGAATGTTTCATTAAATTATGAAGATCTATGAAGATGATCCTTCTCATTAAGAATCAAGTTTTGTTTTGTTTATTTTTATAGCAATGAAACATGTGTAATTGAAAAATAATAATAATAATAATAAAAGTTTACTGCTATTCTATAAAATATTCCAGGAAAAACAATAGCATCTCCATGAGGACAAGCAGGTGGCGGAGGCTCCACCAGGAAAGTTGCACAGTACACATACGAGTTAAATAAGCTTGATTCCTATAGCTTCCTTCATAGAGCTCCTTTAATTGTGACCATCTCTCTGCTTTCAAAAATAGTTTTCTTGGTTTAAACACATACCAATCCCAATCAACACTTTGGGGGAAATGGGGCAGAAATATCCAAAAATAAAACTAGTGGGAAAAATCTCAACTGTGTGGAATTTGAAATTCAAGGCTATCACTTTACAAAAGCATGTTGTTATTACAGCAATTATAATTTCACCAACAGAAACCCAAACCCAATAACCTGCATCCTTTTTTTTTTTTTTTTTCAAATCCTTGTAAAGGTAAACAAACACTAAAGTTGAATGCCACCACACACTCCTACTATTTAAGGAAGGCTTCGGAAGGAAGTTTGGAATCACATCATTTATATGGACCAGTACTTCATCCAGAAATGTGTGGTTTTCTTATTTGGGTGCATCTCTTCTGTGGACAGGAAGCTTTAGATCAGGCTCCGAGTCAGCCAAAACACAATGGTCTGCTGTAGCATATAAACAAATTTGTGACTAGCTTTATGAACAGAAAGTTAAAGCAATAGCCTATAAATAAAAATTTAAGAAATCACACATTTTGACACACTGATGGCATGTGTGGCATCAGTGATTTAGACATTGGCAGACTCCTGTTCTGTCTGGAGTTCCCATGTCCAGTGGTGTAAAGCTCCCCCAAATGCAACACCTGTTGTTGTTAACAATACAATAAACATTGTGAAACAAACATGCTTTGGACTATAATAGTCCAATCATTTTCAGCTGCTAAAAATTGCTCAAACATGTCCCAATTTGAATGAATGAAATAAATGTCTGCAGGATCCCAACCTGACTCAAATCCAAAAAATAATACACATGGAGTTTCATTCTGAGCCCAAGCCAAGATAGAACAAGAGAGAATGGTGTAAAAAGAAGCAACAAGCTTACAGTGTTTTAATCGTTATGTCACAACACAATCGAAGGGATCGTCCATAAGAAGTAACCATTAGAACTAACTTTAATACTTTTACAAACAAAGTTTCGTCCGCTTTTAGGAACACTGGGTGAAAGTCATCCCCCTCTGCACGGGGTGTGAAAGTCTAAACGGAGTACGCTAAAAAACAAACATATTTACTGCAGGCTAAATAAACTGCGGAGAAATCTTTAACCAGGGTTGTGAAATAGGGTTGATCCAAATACTAATTGATACTATATTATGGAATAGATACAGATTTGACCAAGTCCCATTGATCTTTTTCACATGCAGTTATTTGAAATGTAAATATATTTTTATATTCATTCATGTTGAAATGGTAAAGGATACTTGATTTTACAGTACAGAACAGTCATCATCAAGGACAGTCTTCCCTCTCCCAGACTTTCCAGACTTAAGATTTGTGCCAATATTTGGTCCTTTTTGCAATTATCGTTTCATCACATTGAGATGGGGATGTGGTCACTCATATTTGTGAGGCATGCTTTTACTTTTGCATTGGAGTCAGCTGCTGCTCAAACGTCACTTTCAGCTGTTGTTTTTCTGACTTGATGGAAATGTGCAACTGTGACTTTCACTGCACTTTTACTTCACTACACTGCTATAAAGATACTCAAACTTTCATTTTATTAAACCTTTTTAATGAGCAGATTCTTTTACAACAATTTCAGTCATTATGATGTTATAGGATTTATCTGGTTTGCATTTTAAACTACTTAGAAAGTCATACTCCGGTGTGTATTCTCTTTTCTGCTGTTGTCCATATAAATCTTAATAAAATAATTAGTCCACTAATAATACATTTGGTCGAGTAAGACATAACTGCCCTATTAATCAATAAATGCCCCAAGAACTACAGCCCTGTTTGTCATAATGTTGACAAGTTAAATAAAGCATTAGGATGTGTGAATTGACACAAATCATCATGTGAGTTAAAATCCTGTGACTATTTGGATGAATAGGTTACACAGTTTGGTACATTCTGAATCTGGGATACTCAGTAAAATATAATTTTACTTGGAGCAAAGACACATGAATCCTTTGCCTGTGTGTGCGTCCTTGTGTGATGTTGGAGGGACTTCACACGGCAAAGACAGTGAGGCGTCACTGGTCTTCTGCTTATAACAGTATGTTCATGTAGTGTAATCCTCTCCAGTCTCTGTGGTGGATGTGTGTGTATCTCCCACACAGCATGGCCCTTGTTTGGCCAACAGTACATTTGTCTCAGGATGGAGAGGGGTTTTTTCAGCACTGGTGGCTGCAGCTGTGCCCATTCGGTGCAGTGAAACCAGAGAAGCCTGTCCATGCTGTAAACGCTGTTTAACGGGCACAGACTTCACTGACAAGCTACGGTTTCCAAAAGAATCACAGCCTCTTAACCTCCTCACCTTGTGCTTTGGCTTTCTTGATATTAGTATCGAGGGAGGGATTAAGCAGCTGGGCCAGTAAACAGAGCAGTAGTGGAGGCGAGAGAGAGGAAGAGGACCAGACGGACAAAGTGTGGACATTTTAACTTTTACATTTTAAGCCTCCAGGGATTTAGATCATATGTTTTTATCAAACTTTATTACCTCTTTAGCACTTCAATTTCACATATGGTGTTAGTAATTTGTGGAACCACACACGCCTCGAGACTTAATACCAAATCTTATCTCACTGTCACTATAAGCTGAACCCACATACATCTTTATCCAGGACAAAACAGTGTCAGTGTTCTTTTTGCATCAATTTACATACTGATTAGACAAATGTTTAAATTAACTTAAGTTAACCCAAGATTTAACAGCACTGCTTATGACCCTCTGTGCCTGGAATATGTTATTGAAATTAGTAGTGGTATCGAGCAACTCTCAGCTTTGATATAGAGATACTGTACATTAACTGTAGTGGTCTATAGCCGCTGGTATAGTTACATCTCTTGTGATTTTGTTTGTGGTTTTGTTGTTGTCACTGGTGAACTCTGGTTGCCCTCTCTGAAGCTAGCTCAGGTAATGTGACAAGACTACTGATGCTCTGAGGCTTTGTCAGGCTCTTTGCTGACATGTGAATGGGACTCTGAGAAACAAGGCACCGTAAGGGCTTCTCGTGCTTCTTGTACTATATAGGCCATTGTTTCAAGGGGAGTCAATTGGTTTGACTAAATTATAAGAAGATTGCATTGCATTTGAATGTTGAGACTAGGGGTGTTGAGACTGTTATGAAAACTAGACCAACCACAACCCCCTTGATTAAACTTGATAAATGTGGCGTGCTATCTACAGTAGCTACATATAGGAGATCAAGCAGACATGCACAATACGGGATCAAGATTTTCAATAATATTCACTCTGGATGGGGTACATAATATATCATAGGGTACATACATAAAGGTGTACTGAATACATGTAATGAACATTTTCTTTAAAAACATCATTTTTAGCTGGCTATGAAACTGAACCTAGAACAGTATTTGTTTGTGTCTTAGGTCTTCCTTATCATTAGGGCTAGCTTTGAAATACTCAAATAACGCTGGAGCCCAGTGTAACCTACAATCAGTGAGAGAGTTCTGTCATTGTGGTAAACATTCTCAGAACTGTGTAGAGGAAAAACAAATATTTCTCCTGTATGTTCTTAAATGCCAGTCCATAAAAGCAGCCAATAAAGTAAATTGTCAGCTGTGTTTTAGCTTAAGACAACATTTAGCATATAGTTGTTTTCTTGGTGTCAAAATGTATTGAAATCTTCCATTATAATGAGTGAACGTGTTGTGTCTGGTCTCTTGTTTATAGGTGCAGCTCAGAGATGGCCTTGACGCTCTACTACCATCGCACAGTCCTTTTGGCTGCATCCTTCTGCTTTCTTCCTTGTATTACTTCCTCGCTAAACCTGGAGGATCCTAATGTTTGCAGTCACTGGGAAAGGTCAGTGTACGATGTTGCAATGTCCATCCACCCAAAGCCACTATAAAGGAGCAAATTCAACTCTGATGTTTAAGAACTTAGGTGCAGTCCGATTTCCCAGCTAGATTGGCTTTCAGTGTCTAATCTAAGGAAACAGCTGCACACACACACACGCGCACACGCGCACACACACACACTGAGAGTAACAACCAAAAAGTAATGAGCCCAAAACATGGACAGATTCAGTATTCCTAGGGACACAACAATACCATGCACGGGCCACCAAGGCTAATTGCTAACTTTCAAATTGGCAAGTGATTGCTTTGCTACTAGGAGCAGCAAACACCTAGCATTGTTCTGGAAACATGATGGGAGAACATTAATCGTTTTTTGTCAAGTCAAAATTTGTAAATATATGAATTCTCATTGTGCATAAAGCAACTTCACAAGGCAGTCATAAGGACCTTTTTCCTGAACCAAAGTCAGTCCAGTTTCATCTTTCTCATATCATCATGCAAAACAGGACCACACACAGAGACCACTTTAGTCTTGAGAGGTGAAAACAAAACTGCTGTGGGTGTTTAATCCATTGAGTACACAAGTGACACTGGCAGCTCGCATGCATCATGCATCTGAATACTTCCGGTTCATATTTCAAACATTTTTGGGTTTGTGTTTTCAGTTACTCTGTGACAGTGCAGGAGACCTATGCTCATCCCTATGACCAGATTTATTACACCAGTTGCACAGACATCCTCAACTGGTTCAAATGCACCAGGCACAGGTAAGAAGTGTTATGCATGGAACATATTTTCATACATGTACAAACAAGCACGTAAATATCCTAACTAGAGACTGTAGTTTAAATACATGACTTTTGGGAACAGTTGAAATCTATAAGTAACTTGTAAACTAGTGACATCTCTTTATATTGCGTTGATTTTAATGTGAAGCACTTTGGTCACCATGAGTGTTGTAAAGGGTTCTATAAATAAAGATAGGTTGATCTTGTGTCTGGGTGCAGAGTTAGCTACAAAACAGCCTATCGCAGAGGGGAGAAAACCATGTACAGGCGGAAATCACAGTGCTGCCCAGGCTTTTTTGAGGATGGAGAGATTTGTGCTCGTAAGTAACTTCAACACACACACACACACACAGCTTTTATTTATTATTAGGATAACAGCGATAATTTGGTGAGTGAAACCAGTTAACATAGCCATGTGGATAAAACCATCACAGTATTAGAGTAGTTGTTAATAATAGCAATGAAGATCAAAGTATGTTGGAAATATTCTTGCCAGCTGCACTTAAACTGCATGTTGTAGCTGGTGAGGTGAAAGTGCGTGTGGTTGTGCCCAAGGCCTCTGGTGTTGGGGCTCTTTATTGTGGCCAACAGGCGCAAACAGGTGTGATGTCACAGGGCCATTACCCAAAACAACTGTTGTAGCTGTGCATCGAAAAAGATCTTCTTCTTATTTCAAAAAAATAAAATGCTTTGATATATCTCAGGTTAATATGAGTATTGTTTTATCTAAGTATCTAATCTTTTATTTAGACTGAAGTAGGCTGAATCACATGGTACTGAAAAGAAGAGAGACACTTGAGGCTAAATTATATTTCCAGATGGAAGGCAACAGAGAGAAAAAAAAAAGCCAAAAATGGATTAATTTAGTGCATGTTGGAAGGAGTCCATGTGTCTACTACGCTCAAGCGTTTTAAAGACGAAGTTAATGATGGAATGAATCTGGTCTTTTGATCAAACCAAGACTCTGTGATTATTAATTAAGATGATTTAGGAGCAAATTTGTCCTGTGGGTTGATTTCCTAGTATTTAAGAATCATAGAAAATCAGCAAACAGATTTAAAAACAGCACACCATGTATACATTACTTAAAGGCCTAATATTATTGTCCACATGATATTTGTTTGCAATATTTTAATATGTTTTATGGTAAATGGTAAATGGTCACATTTTTCTATAGCGCTTTTCCACCTTCAAGGCACTCAAAGAGCTTTACAACAAGGAACCACTCACCCATTCACACACACATTCACACACCAGTATACGCAGACACTGTTTATGTGTGCGCAGTGGGTTAAAGTTATCAGAGCAAGTACTTAGATTACAGAAGATTTGATGTTCCCGCTGTACATAGTTAATAGCAGCCTTAGTCACTGTGTTTGCAGTGCAGTAGATGCAGTAATATGTTCTTGGCCTATTAATATAGAAGTAGGCCTACATTTAAGTTGCCCAAACTAAAAAATTCATCGTTCTTTTTGTAGTACAATTTTATATGCACACGCCTTGAGTAATCTCATCTGTTTTGTATAGTGATGTGTGAAAACATGCTTTGCCCTTTTGCACATCTCTTGTCTATTTCTCCCTTAGCCTTCTGCGCAGAAAACTGTGTTCATGGCCGCTGTATGGCCCCCAACACCTGCCAGTGTGAGCCGGGCTGGGGGGGCTCCAACTGCTCCAGTGGTAAGTCAACCCAGCTGCTGCTGTCCATGAGCAGCACTGTGTTTGTGTGAAACCCTGGTGTCTGTAGAACCACTTTGACTTCAAAAAAGGAAAACAGACTCATGTATCACTTTACTGCTAGTGCTTTGTTCACTTTAAAGTGCATGCTTACTCTTTGTCTTGGACAACAGGTAGGCTTCATACCGTATCTAATATTAATATAGCCATGTACAACAAACAAACAAAATAAACAAATAAACAATCAAACAAGAAAACAAGAAGAGAACTTAACACTTGATGCTTATGAAACTTAATTTTGCTATGTGTGACACTGTTGTGTTTTATATAACATCTTTCAAAGAAAAATGTGAGCTACAAATAGCCAGTGCCCCTGTACAGTCACAATAATCTTTATTTTAGCAGCTGTGTGTGTGGTACTGTCAGTGTTGTGTGCCAAAAACCAACAGTGTGTGTCTTTGTTGGACAATTGCATTATTCCAGACAGTAGCTCGTTTACACTAGTGTCTCTCATTAGGATTTGAACATGATATTACCTTTTAACCCAGCTGTCGACCAGCATGTGCTCAGTCTCATGCCACAGCTGCAGCACAGTACTTCCGCTACTTTACACAAGCAATTATATTTCAATATCTGATTTAATTATCTTTGTTTCACAGGATATTTGCCCTGGTTAAAATAAATGATTATTTCATAACCAGTTTATATACATTTCTTTTTACGACAAGCCGCAACTGAGTCATTACATGAAAGGATGTGAGTGTGAGGATGTAAAATTTCCCATCTCACGAGACTGTGCATCTCTCGTCAGCTCACTGCTCCCAGGCCACACCACAACAAATGTCTTCAGGCTGAAGTTGCTGCTGAACTCATGTTAGACCGTTGTTTATCCTTGTGGCGTTTAACCTGTGTAGTAAATGTTTTGTTTGCACACAACCCTTCATACAGTGTGAGTCTTGAGGTTATTTCTGCGTGTTCTGATAGGACAATGAATGCCTCTGTACTGTGGTCTATAGGCTCATGTGTATGAGGAGCCCACAGGGTGTGCCCGTTGTCTTTGGTTTCTGCCTGTAATAAAGATGGGTATTGTAGTGTCGGGCCCCAGGGCTCCCCTAGGCCCCTCTGAGTCTGACCCATTGCTTGTCTGTCTGCTCCGTCTGCATCACCACAAACAACCGCTGCCTCTGCTTTATGTTCAAATGTGTATGCAGTTTAAGGTACAACTGACACCCCAACCATACAGCCAGGGAATTCAATAAAAAAGTTGCTAAACTACGGGCTCAGTGCATTTGCAGGGCAGGGTAACTTGCCTTTCTCTGAATGTCAGTTTGAAATACGTTTTGCTCTGCAGTCCTTCTTCAGTATAGTCAGGAGGCCAGATACTATGAAACAAGGTTGGTTATAGAGCAAAAAAAAGGTCTGCATGTCCTCCCTAGTTTCTGTTATGGTCTAAAGACTGGCATTTTTAAGTGCAGTGCACATGTTTTTCTCTAAAAAAAATAACCTTGCACTGTAAAATAGATTTAATGTCAATTATAGTTATTTTTTTCCCTTGTATGCTCTTCTAGTAGATTAGTCAGTCATTTCAGTCTGCACCTAGTCTGAATCTCTGGTGCCCTTGGTTCCAGACAGACCACTAGAACTGAGACAGACATTATCAGGATATGATGATGATGATGATATGATGCCCTTATAGAGAATATATAGTTTGCAACAAACAGAAAAAAGCAGAGCGCTGGTTTATGATTGGGATGAAGACATTAGGTCAAGCAGAATGGCTTTAATTTCCTCAAGAGTCCCACAGATAAGCCTCATTTTACAGGTCAGTGAGCCATTACAATATGTCTGAGGATCAATTTGGGGAGCAAAAACAGGAAATGGGCAGATGGTGCACATGGGGAGAGCAGGAATAATAGAAAAGCTGTAGAAAATTGTGTGGTAGGAAATAACCCTAGGCTTTGGAGCTTGTGATTTAGTACACAAGACAACACCACAAGATGCTCTTTAGATCTCAATTTCAGCTGCAGTAAGAGGGTGTGGGCTGTCACTGTTTTGTTAGTGCAGGAGTTTAAGTAAAGAAATCTTGTCCACTATCAGAGAAACTCCTTCTGGGGAAAACAAAGAATGTTACAGATGTTTTTTCTCAGCTGAAGTTTGAGTATCAGTGTGAGAGACTTTGGGTTCCTATGAGCACTCACTGGTGTAATGGAAGTGAAGCCAGCTTCCAATTCCTCCCAAGAGAAGAGAGCCAACACACAGCCATTGCCAACTCATGCACTAAACAATCTGAACCAGAATGCCAACCTCTTTTTCCTAGTGGATGTAAATATTATAACATTTATTATGTCTGTGAACTAAAGTTAGGAGTTTAGAAATTATATCACAGCTGTGGTGTTGTTTTGTACATTTTTATTTAGTAACCTTTACTTGAATAAAAACTGAACTGACTAATTTGGTACTTTTCTACTCTTTAGGTCATTGTATATTGTGGACTGCCTGTTATTCCACACTTAAATTAACTTAGTGAAAAATTAAAACTGTGCGTCATGTGACTCGTGCACTGCTGTCCTTTGTAACTGGCCTTCTTGAATGGGCTGGTGAAAGGGAACAGGCTGTTCTCAGGAGGGGGACGAGGAGCCCCCAGCTCCTGGAGTTTGGCCTTTCTTCAATCTAGGTCATGTTTCACAAAGGTACCAGGATGGCAGAGAATTTCCATGTGCATCTTAGTATCTAATCTCCTCCCCCTCCCATTGTCCATACAACCTGGTCCCGGGATGGGGCATGGCTCAGGACTGCCTCAGGAAACAGTGCAGTGTGCATGTTTTATACTGGGTCAGAGCGGAGTGGACTAATGCGTCTGGATAAAAGAAGCCTAGATTTATTTGAAGAGGTCCAACAAATAGTGGCCTGACTGGGATGGGAAGTGGTGCTCATGTTCTGCAGAGGATATGTCAATCCTGTCATTTTAACTTGTTAATACTTGCATGGAGATGTGCTTGAAAACCACCTAATGCCCTGCCTGGGTATAGGTAAAGGGATTGCATTCATATAACATCACAATGTTCTATAATCCCTGTAGTTTAACATTGATCTGGGGAACATGGCAACACTCTATTGTCAAATTAACTCTTATCTACTACTATAAAGAAATCTACAGCTCCACAGCCATACATCTAAACCATATCTAATCCACACCAAAACAAGCAAATATAGATGCATATTATATACCTCACCAAATCAGATAGTGTGATGTTGCTTTGCATAAATCCTCCAACAATTACTATTTATGTTCTTCTGTAATCAAATATTGACAATGCTTCATAGTGCAGACACCACCCAAACCAGCTGTGCTTTATATATGCACCAATCAGCCAGGAAAACCTCCTTGAGTTTAAAGGCCACTCACAACCACAACCCCCATGAAAACTATTATTATGTCCACATGCCACCATTTGCTGTAATGATTATAGCTGGACCTAAATGAAGTGGGAAATGGTTTGACTAATTGAAATATCTGAATGGCATTTGTTACATTAACCTCTGTGGACATCTCAAAATAGTTAATAGAGCGTGGGAAAGCTGTAGACAGTGTAGTCCCCAAACAAAGCTTCTCAATTAGTTTGTTTCAAATTTTAAGTTTCAACACACACACACATACAAATTTAGATTTCCCTTTAACAGTAGTGGCCCAGTTAATCCTTTAGTATAAATTTTAATATCTGAGTATCTTAAAATGATGAGCTTTGTGTAGTAACACAAAGTAATTTGTGCTGATGCCTATGTATGCTGACACACCTGGGAAAAGCTCTCCTGAACCAGTGATAGCCTGGATGATAAGAGATTGAGACAATATGAGCATCTCAGGTTAAAGGGTGGTCAATGGGAAAACAAGCATGCATGTTATCAGTTGAAGATTGAGAGAACTTCAAACAGGGCCTAAACAGTTAATGTTTTTAATGTTTCCTTTTTATGTTGTGCTCATTTTTAGCATGTGACAGTGAGCACTGGGGTCCACACTGCAGCAACCGATGCCAGTGCAAGAACAGAGCTCTATGCAACCCCATCACTGGAGCGTGCCTGTGCCCACCTGGATACAGAGGGTGGCGCTGTGAAGCTCAGTGTGAAGTGGGCACCTATGGGACCAGCTGTCAACAGAAGTCAGTGTCAGAATGGAGCAACCTGTCATCATGTGACCGGAGAGTGCAAGTGTACCCCAGGATACACAGGTGCTATGTAAGTTAGCCTCTCCATTCTAACTGTTAACTCTTTAAACATGTCATGTGCTGATTATCAACTGCTTTTTCCTGTAGCTGTGAAGACTTATGCCCTCCAGGTAAACATGGACAGAAATGTGAGGAGAGATGTCCCTGTCAAAATGGAGGAGTCTGTCATCATGTGACAGGAGAGTGCACCTGTCCTGCTGGCTGGATGGTACAAGTTCACACTTAAGAACAAGAACATAAAGGCATCAAATTCTCTTTCATATTGTTCTAGAGGATAAGTAATTTCTTATAGCAAAAACAGGTGTATTGCATGTCCCCTTTACCAATGGGCAATAGAATGTAAACAACAAACTTTGGAGCTACACTGCAACTGATTCTTGGATTCATTCAGTCACCAATGTGCCTGGTCAGAAAATGTTTCTGCATAATTATCAGGATAGTTTTAAAAATCTGATGCTATACTATATGTTGTACTGATATATCTATAGTCCTATAACATATATAATTGTATTACTGAAAGTATTGCTGCATCTGTTGTTAGGGTACAGTGTGTGGTCAGCCATGCCCCGAAGGAAGATTTGGCCTAAACTGTTCCCATGAGTGTCAGTGTCATAACAATGGCTTTTGTGTTCCCTCCACGGGACAGTGTCTGTGCCACGCAGGCTACACTGGAGAACGGTGAGACACACACCATCATCAATATTATTCAATTTCTGTCTTTTTGACTGGCAAAAATACAACTTTTGAGTCCAGCACATAAACTGCACCTTACAGCGACATTCTATTTCTGATACAATTCAGTGTACTACTGCACATGTAAAATATACATTATAAAAAACTAAAGTGCCTTCTTCAAACTTCACTGGAGGCAAACACACAAATGTCACTTACTCAGTGTTTTCACAGATAAATGCAGAGTACCAAACAGGCTGTAGGCCCATATAATTAACAATGTCAAAGTGCACAAACCATATACTTATGGTGACCAATGGTGAGACAAGAATAGCCTCTCTGTGTGCGCTTTTATAAGTAAATATGGGTTTGAGGGAAACCAGACGTCATGGTATAGCGCTGCTAGGAACTGGGTCAGCACCACCACTCCCTAAGCCACTGAAATCCATTAATGGGTCACTCTATGGATGGGAGGGCTATGATTGCCCCTCAGGATGACAAAACTAGGAAATGAGCTGTGCTGCTTATTGAGAGAATGCATTGCTAAAAGCAGATAACAGTCCTTTACAATATTAAACACAACAAAAAACAAAACAAAAAGCAATAGACATCATCCGAAATAAACACTAACTCTAAAATGCTTATGCCTGTCTTTTTAGCCCCCTGTAAATGAATGGTTTCAGTATTTCATTAGCGTATCCTGTTTGATTTAGTGGTTGCTTTGGTAACTCAAACAAAAATATAAGAAATCCTTTGTGAACTTACAACATTTCAGGTGTGTCTGTTTGCTCCTTTACTGCTGTATTTGAATAGAGCATAGAAAAGCGGATACAAAAGCATCAGTGACATTTAGCAACCTCTGAACTCAAAGTAGGGGAACTATTTGTGTTTGCAAAAGTTTTGCCTTTTTACTACTTTTGGATTTCAGCAATTGTCAAAATATGCAAAATATAATTTTATTCAAAAATTCAACAGAAGGATGATTTGACACTAAGCAAACATTTTGGGGCCTGCTGGGCATCACTGCATGTACAAATGTCAATGTTATTTCTAAATGAGGTTGGGTATGATATGCTTAAACATTCAAGATTTGAACATGCCAAGCATGTCACTGACTTAAAATGAAACCAGTATCCTTGGGTAACCTCTACTGGAGTGGATAATGGAGATAACTTGCCATCACATACCTGTCCTAATCTGCTTTCTGGCTTGACTTTAATACATTCAACTAAGTTATGGTTTCTTGTTTATCCTCGAGTGTTCAAATCACTACACCTGTGGATGTTACAAAGCAAGTCATAACTTAAACTTTTTCTGCTTGGTTCCTCTTTAAACAGGTGCCAAGACCAGTGTCCAGTGGGGACTTATGGAGCAGGCTGTACAAAGACATGTAGTTGTAAGAACAATGGCAAATGCTACCACACTAATGGCATGTGTCTGTGTGAACCTGGCTACACTGGAGAGATGTGTGAGACCAGACTGTGTCCTGAAGGTTTCTATGGACTCAAGTGTGACAAAAAGTGTCCCTGCGCTGCACACAACACACGCAGGTACGACATATACTTATAGTGGTCAAAGTGTGTGTAGAGCAACTGCTATTAGGAGTTTAGTGGATGACTTCACAAGCATCTGGAGTTTAACATGTGTTGCTCTCCAGTCCACATGTCCATCTCAATGCTTCTGCTGTCTAAGTACAGCTGCTGTCAGCCACAGTTGTGTAGAAACAAAGGCGCATTTTCTATGTCCAGTAGCAGGAGGGCTCCACCTGCTGGGTGTAGCAGAGCATAGAGTTGACAGCAGTGGTTTGGTGGTTATTAGTGTTACCAACATTAAGAAAAAAGGTTTATCAGAGCTCTTTAATGGATACTTTTGGTTAAAATGTGTTTACCTGGTATTAATTAAAATATGGTTAATATTGCATCAAAAGGAGATAAATAAATGCAATCCTTGTCTATTCTCAGGTGTCAGCCAGTATCTGGTGAATGTACATGTCTTCCTGGATGGTCTGGCCTCTACTGTAATGAAACTTGTACACCAGGGTTTTTTGGAGAATTGTGCCAACAAGTTTGTCAGTGTCAGAATGGGGCGGACTGCCACAGTGTGACAGGACAGTGCATCTGTGCTCCAGGATTCATGGTAAACTGTGATATTAAAATTGAAAGCACATTGATAAAATACAATATTGTGTACAACATGTGATCATATTTATTTTCACTAGGGTCCCAACTGCTCAGTGCCTTGTCCAGCAGGAAGTCATGGAATCAATTGTTCTTCAAGCTGCAACTGTAAAAATGGAGCTCAGTGTTCCTCTGTGGATGGCTCCTGCTCCTGTCAGCCAGGTGAGCAGGGCAGTGACAGTGAGAATGACTGTTGTGAAACTAAATAATCTTTACTGGATTATTTTACACTCTTTCAGGGTGGCATGGGGTGGACTGCTCTATCAACTGTCCGAGTGGCACCTGGGGTCTGGGCTGTAACCACACCTGTTTGTGTAGCAATGGAGGGGCTTGTAATGCATTGAATGGAGTCTGCACATGTGCATCAGGCTGGAGAGGCGAAAGATGTGACACACGCTGCTCGGTGAGTAAGATCACATTCTGTCTGATTTTGGAAAATACATGTTTTTTTAAAAAACAAAACAAAACAAAACAAAAAAATGATATATATATATATATATATATATATATATATATGTTCGCTTCCTTCTCCAGGATGGGACCTATGGCTTGGACTGTAAAGAGCGCTGTGACTGTAGCCATGCTGATGGGTGTGATCATGCCACAGGACACTGCCGCTGCTTGGCTGGGTGGACTGGTAAATAGTTTTACTCTAAATAATGTGTTTTAAATCTAGATCTTTTCCTTATGTTTTTTATCTGTCAGTCTCTTGACTTTTCTAAACCCATCTCAGTTGCAGGGTTGCAGCATTCATTATAGATAGCATGCCTGTCTGCTTAGCAACATGCACATGTCTCAAAGAGGTCTTTGTACCTGCTCCTCTGGGCTCCATGTCTCTGCAGCCTCCTACTGCTTCTAAAAGAAAGATTAATGAGAGGGATCCAAAAGGGGCTGTGTTGGCGAAAAGACTGCACTTAATGAATGTTCCTTCCTGCCAGAAACAAGACTTTTCCCAGATTTAAGTTTATGTATTTATTTATTTTAACCTTTTGTATATTTATTGTTATACCACAAATAATTATATGTCTTTTCAACCAAATTCCTTGTAACTTAATTTATTTAATCAAGATATTGTATTTTATACTGTGCATGTATTGTTTGTGTGCAGGTATTCACTGTGACAGTGTGTGTGCTGAGGGCCGCTGGGGCCCCAACTGCTCCCTCCCCTGTAACTGTAAAAACGGAGCCTCCTGCTCTCCAGATGAGGGCACATGTGAATGTGCTCCAGGGTATAGAGGCACCACCTGTCAGAGAAGTGAGTAGCCACACATTCACAATATCAGTTGTTAGTTAGTAGTCATTTTAGGCTTATTTTAAATGCATATCTTACAGTTTGTTCACCAGGGTATTTTGGCCACCGCTGCAGTCAAACCTGCCCACAGTGTGTTCACAGCAATGGGCCATGCCATCATGTATCAGGACAGTGTGACTGCCTGCCAGGCTTCAAGGGGGCACTATGCAATGAGGGTAAAGCCTGAGAGTGTATGTAATTACTTTTAATGAAGATAATTGTGATGATTCATGTGTTGAATTGGGCAGTGTGTCCTAGTGGTCGCTTTGGGAAGAATTGTGCTTGGAGCTGCAGTTGTACAAACAATGGCACCTGTAATCCTATAGACGGGTCATGTCAGTGTTACCCTGGTTGGATTGGAAGTGACTGTTCTCAGCGTAAGACTTAATAAAGCATATTATATACATATTTAAATGTTCTTTCTTACCAAGCCTAATTACAATATATTTTATAGCTTGTCCTCCTGGTCAGTGGGGCCCCAATTGCATCCATACGTGTAACTGTCACAATGGAGCTTACTGCAGTGCATATGACGGAGAGTGCAAATGTACACCAGGATGGACAGGTCTTTACTGCACACAGCGTAAGTACCAGTCTGTCGTAATGCATGGCTCTGCTGGTAGAGTGAATGTTTTATTATCCTTCATCCAACCTGCCTAATTTCTTCACTCTCAGGATGTCCATTGAGTTTTTATGGAAAAGATTGTTCTCAGACCTGTCAGTGCAAGAATGGAGCTGACTGCGACCACATCTCTGGACAGTGTACTTGTCGCACAGGCTTCATGGGACGCCACTGTGAGCAGAGTATGTACATGAGGACACTTAGATATAAGGCGATTTTTGAGTATTGGAAATTATAATCAATTGACCATTTTACTATTTTGAAATTATTTTCAGAGTGTCCATTGGGTTCATATGGCTATGGCTGTCGTCAGGTGTGTGACTGTCTTAATAACTCCACTTGTGATCACATGACAGGCACATGTTACTGCAACCCAGGCTGGAAAGGAGCACGTTGTGACCAGGGTAAGTTCACATGCACTTGAACTAGTATAGGAAGTACAATTTCCATACTTTATTTATAAATTTAAAAAATACTTCTTTCTGGATAGCCGGTGTGGTGGTGGGCAGTCTCAACAGTCTAACCAGTGAAGCCATGCACGCAGACACCTATCAGATTGGTGCTATTGCTGGCATTATAATTCTGGTGTTACTGGTCATCTTCCTCCTTGTACTCTTCATTATCTACCGAAAGAAGCAAAAAGGCAAAGAGCCCACTATGCCGGCAGTAACGTATACTCCAGCAATGAGGATCACCGCTGATTATGCAATTGCAGGTACATGAAAGTATATAAAACAATATATATTAAAAATATGTATGGAAATATGGTTTAATTAACTGGATCTTTCAGATGCTCATTCACCATGTGAAGGACACCCAAGTAACTACTTCTCCAATCCAAGCTACCACACTTTGACCCAATGCATCAGCCCACCACTGGTAAACAATGCCTCATATGGACAGGTATGACTGAAATTAAAATTTGTAAAAGCCCTGCCCTATAACGTCCATATAAATGGTTTCAGTAATTAATCTTTAATTTTAGACCAAAAACAACCCGCTCTTTGTGAGCATAAAGAATGTGGAGCCAAGAAAGCGTAACATTGCTGATCATACTGGTACTCTGCCTGCTGACTGGAAACAAGGGGACTGCTTCAAAGAACTAGGTGATTTTAGATAATGAGTTTGAATGTGTGGATAATTCATTAAGAACAAACATTATTTTTAAGTAAACAAGTGTAACATAAACAAAATAGATTGACGAATATTCTTTTCACATAGGGGCTTATGGCATTGACAGAAGATACACAGGACAATCTTTGCATGGTACAAAATAAGAACAATCTTAACATTAAACAAGAAAAAATATATCTCTAACTCCCTTCCTTATCCTTGTTCTCTCCGTCAGATCTGGTTAAGGACACGCCTTATCATGCTAGTTCATCTTCACTCAACAGTTCTGAAAACCCATATGCCACAATCAAAGACCCTCCACTCCTGACAACAAAAAACACAGAGTGTGGGTATGTGGAGATGAAGTCTCCAACCAGACGAGATCCACCATATGCTGAAATAAGCAACAGCAGCCCCACAAACAACAGAAATGTCTATGAAGTTGGTAAGCCTGAGATATTCTTTAAAACTGTGGTTGAACTCTTTTGGAGAAAAATAAAATTTTTTCTCCCACTCTTTACATTTCAGAGCCAACTGTGACCACTGTACCAAGCGGGCAATTTGGTCAGGATCCCTACGACATGCCGAGAAATAGCCACATCCCCAGTCATTACGATATTCTACCAATGCGGGAGAGTCCCACCTCAGAGGACAATAACATGGACAGTGAATAACAGGACAGAGGAGCCATATTCAGACTGGACCGCCGCTTTGACTGGGCAGAACCACAACTGGAATTCCTAAGTGTTGCCACCTTTGGAAACTACTGCTGTACTATGTGGCACTGATCTGTTGGATACAAGCACAGAGGCTACTTTCAAACAGATGTTAAATGTGCAGCCTTTGGAACTGCAAAAACCTAGTACGTCACTGTCTGTGCAGATGTCAACATTAGCAGAAACTCACATTGGAGACTCACGAACAATATAAGTTTGCATATTGGGATTAGTGTTTTTCTTTTTTACTTATACATATTATAAATCTCTATTTTTATAATATCTAGTTGATATGAAATATTTGAAGAAGAATAGTTTCTAGTTTGTATGAAAGATATCAAGTGAGTGATGTTGAAAGTTTTTGTAATATTTGCACATAATAATGTCAAGCTATTGGTTAGAATTGGAGCTCCCCAAAGAGAAGACATGGAACAGTTCTTGTCTTTGTATGAGAGTCTAGTTCAATAAGTAAAATTTTATCCAACAAGTAAAATAAGAGGGTTTGCCATCTTAACACTCACATGGCAAATATCATCCATCATTGACATTCATTAGTAAATATTATAGTTGTTTTAGCTTCTTTTCTTTTTTTTCTTTTTTTTGGTGTTATGCATGAGATAAGGGCATCTGTGTACTGTAGAATATGTTTTGCATTGAGGGATGGATGTACTGTTTTAGATTACTTTACTGAAATGACAATTTACAACTGAAGGTACTGAAGCATTTACATACCTATGGACAACTGATCATGTGTAAGGGTGCAGTAAATAATGAATATGCCAAAGAGGAATCCTTATATTGATATGATCAAAACATCATGATAATATGAATATGGTCAGCCTAATTAGATTGCTTTATATTTTGTTTTTTCACCACATGTGCTCAATCAAATCTTTGGTGAACTAATTTTATATCATTGGCACCATTTTAATTCCTTCCCATATTTCCACAGCCAAGTATCTCTTTGTCATAACCAAAGCTTGAGCTGGACTTGAGCTTCTATTAAAATTGCTCTACAAAACTCGCAGACTCCTCTAAAGAGACATATCCATGGGTCATTCCATGTTGATTCAGCCAGTGTCACCCACCTGACCATCTTCGTTTTGTTTCATACTTTGTTGTTTGTATATTCAAGAGTGTGGGTTGGTGTGTGGGTTATGGCTTGCCCATTATTGAAACTACAATATTTTATCTTATATCTCTACAAGGGCACATTTTAATCAAATGATTGAGAATTTAGAACTTGTGGAACTTTGGGATTTTGCAGAAGCCATGATTTGTGGCTGACACACCCACATTTTTAAACATAGCACTTTTGGGTAGCCAATAAAAAACTATAGTCATACACGACGCATTGGTTGTTTTCACATGGAATGGCCCCATATAGGCCAAGTAATTATACAGACTGTACACAGTAATTCAGTATATTTCACTATGTTTAAAATGACCAAAGAATTTCTTAAGCTAGTCTGAGCTCAATGTAAAATAGTGTAAATAATTTGTTATCTTCTTAAAAAGGAAAATGTTAAACACCTGATGTCTTATATCATAGAACTTAAACTGGTTCATAATATGCTGTAGAATATTCTACTCAAAAACTAAGGACTGGACTATGTAATAACCTATTTAATGTGTAATCCAACATTTACATTATGAGAAAGAAAGATATATAGTCAGTGTTGCCATGGCACATCTTTGCATCTGTACCATTGTGTTTTTGTATGTTCTAGTAATCTGTGCTTTTTGCACCATGCTTTCAAATGAAAAATATATATATAAAAAATACAACAAAAATAAACTGATTATTTTTGTTTTATTTTGCACATGATTTCTCTAATAATGTGTAATGTGTAATAATAAGTAGTCGGAATGCTTAATGTTTGCCTTTAAGCAAACTGCCCAAGTTAATATGACATACAACAAGGCAGCCCATTTACCTCGTGACCCCAGAACAGCGTGCCGCGCCCCTGCTCACCTCCCCGCTCTTCTCTCATTGGCCCGGAGGGCCGCTGTGAAATTGCACAATGAGGCTGACTGCAGGTTTCCTGCAGCAGGAGAAAGCACTCTGCCCTTTAAAGTTTCACAGCAAAGATATGCTGTCTTTTTATGCCGTAATGAGAAGGCCTGTTTTGCTCTGGCAAAGATGTTGACTCTGATTTTTACCAGCCTGATAGCGGGACTGCTGGCTCTGCTTCTGTACCAGAGGATCGCGTATCCCTTCTTCTGGGACGATTTTATTTATTACTTGAAACTTCGGGGTTACAAAAAGAAAACCGCGGCTCGTGTGAAGCAGGGGGTCATCACGTATTTAGACTGCTTCTTGTATCAGGCGAGAAGAATACCCAACAAAACTTTTATCATTTTTGAGGATCAGGTTTGGACGTACCAGGATGTGGACAGGAGAAGTAACCAGTTCGCCAACGTGTTTCGGACCGAGGGCTCTTTAAAACCAGGGGACATTGTTGCCTTGTTGATGAGCAATGACCCGGACTTCATCTGTGTGTGGTTGGGACTGTGTAAAGTTGGTTGTGAGGTCGCCTTTCTCAACGTGAATATAAAAGCCAAATCACTGCTCCACTGTTTACAGAGTTGTGGATCCAAAACCCTTATAATTGGTGCAGGTACGGGCACGCTCACGCATCCTGCACGAGGTGATGGTTTTGTGTAATGTGTCTCTTAACCTATAGGTGCCTATTGCTGAACTTGGGCAATGCTCCTCAAGTGTGTCTTTATTGGACAGCCATTTGCAGCTCAGACAGAATTTAGGATTCACACTACTGTTCGTTTCCCCTTTAAACTTTTGCATTGCAGGTGTGGTTTCTAACCTAATGAAATCACTTCATGCGTGTATTAGTATTATGCAACTTGCAGCATTTCTTCTGATTTTGTACTTTTATGGACCACAGTGATATGGCTCACATATTTTCTCTGCAGACCTACTCTTAATAATACATGATGTTTCCCTCTTTGTGCAGATTTGGTGAGTGTGGTGGGTGAGATGGGCTCTGACCTAAAGAAGGACAACCTGCTGGTTTGGGTGATGGATCACTCATCGCCCTATCGGGAGTTTGGGACTTTACTTGATAAGGTCCAATATATGCCTGCTGAAAAAATAAAGGATTTACCATTAGTTAATATAATGTCCAATTTTCTTTTCATCTTCACATCTGGCACTACAGGTATAGACTCAAATCAGGGATGCTTGAAAGTGATTTGTCCTTACACATTCATTATTGATGTAAATATATTCCAGGTCTTCCTAAGGCAGCTCGCGTTGGTCACCTGAAAGCTGTTATGAGCATGGCCTTTCTTGAGATGTGTGGTGCCAGTTCAGATGATGTCATCTACATCACTCTTCCACTTTACCACATGTCTGCTTCGCTTTTAGCAGTTGGTGGATGCATCAGTCTAGGTAAGCACCTCGACTACTGTTCTTTCTTAAATGTGCTTTCTGTAAGGGCCATCACATGTAGAAGGCTGCTCACATTCTGCAAACAATTCCTGGAAGATGTTTACTACAGTAGATACAAACAATACAGGAAGCTGTAACACACATATCTTACATAAAGCCCTAAAGGGATTCTGACTTCCTTGAGAAAAAGAAAACAATTTGGTTTAAACAAATGACAGGAAATTTCTCACACTGGCACCATTGTTTTACAGTGACAAATAAAAATTAAATACACCAGAATGGTTTGTTTAACATCTCTTTTGTGTTTCTTTTGCAATATTTGGTAGGTGCTACTTGTGTCCTAAAGAAAAAGTTTTCTGCCAGTCAGTTTTGGAAAGACTGTGTAAAATGTAATGTGACTGTAGTGCAATATATTGGGGAACTTTGCAGATACTTATTGAACCAGCCAAAGGTAAGAAAGAGGAAAACTTCACATTTTATTTATTTTTTTGCTGAATTGTTTTAAAGTTGTTGTGGTTTTCAGGTTCCTGAGGAGCGGACTCACCGCGTGCGCCTTTTTGCAGGAAGTGGTCTCAGGTCTGATGTTTGGAAGCAGCTCAGACAGCGTTTTGGAAAGATCAAGATCAGAGAGGGTTATGGTCTGACTGAGGCCAGTATTGGCTTCCTTAACTACACTGACGAGGTGGGGCCAATCGGGAGGGCCAGTTATTTCAACAAGGTCAGATTAACACAGAGAATATGTAACACTGCAAAACAAGGTACAGCTGTATTTAAAGGTGTGATGTGTAACTTTTCTGGTAGATGGTTTGCTATCTTGTCTCTATGGAGACATTAATACCCTGAATGTTCCATAGTATAGTGTTTAACTGCCATAGAGACAAGCCAGGAAAGTTACATCATGCACCTCTGACAAATATCCCTGAATACCTTTGTCACCTTTTTATTAATTTCTTCAGCTTTCAATGCCATTTGAGCTTTTGCGGTATGATCCACAACAATATGAACCTGTCAGAACAGACACTGGAAGATGCATAAAAGCAAAGATCGGTAAACAGACACAAAATGCCATTATTCTTGTGTTGTATTGTTGTATCACCGTACTTTGAACATGTAATACATATGTGCAGGTGAAGCAGGTATCCTTGTAGCTCCCCTAACCATCATGAACCAGTTTCTTGGTTATGCTGGCAATGAGGTTCAGTCGGAGAAGAAGGTGCTCAGGGATTTGTTCCAGCCTGACGATGTGTACTTTAACACTGGAGACCTGCTGCTGCAGGACCACAAGGGCTTCCTGTATTTTCGTGACCGCATTGGAGACACCTTCAGGTATACAAAATCATACAGTTTGGCAACATTTGTTGGCCTAAAAGTGTTTTTTAATAACTCTTATTTGCAGATGGAAGGGAGAGAATGTGTCTACAACAGAAGTTTCAGAAGTTCTTGGAAGTCTTGATTTTATTCAAGAAGCCAATGTGTATGGAGTTACTGTCCCAGGTTAGTAACAATAAAATGAACACAGTTCAACCCCCTTTCAAATATCGCTATGTGAAAAACTGTAAGGCCACAAAGTCAAAAATGGGATTTAAAACCTGTTCAAAGAAAGTTTCTTTTTTTCTATTTCTAGGTAATGAAGGTCGAGCAGGCATGGCTGCTGTTGTTCTAAAACCTGAATCCAAATTAGATGGTCCAAAACTCTTCAGTCATTTAGTGGACACACTGCCTGCTTATGCTTGGCCTTGGTTTCTCAGAGTACAGGTGAGCATTATGGTCATCTTAAGGAGTTCTCCTGTTAGTTTTCAATATAAGCTCACTGCATGTGTTTAACATCTTTCTCCAGATCGTTCTTGATGTGACAGAAACATTTAAGCAGCAGAAGTCAAAGCTGGTGCAGGAAGGTTTTAATCCCGAGATCATCTCTGATCCACTCTTTTTCTTAGATATTTCCCTGAAGACATACATTGTTTTGACTCCACTTATTTTTCAAGAAATTGTGTCTGGAAAACGTAGTCTATAAGCTTTTCTGAAGATTATCTAAAAATCATTTTCCTGTGTAGTGGGTTTGTAAAATTTGTAGCGTATTTAGATCCAGTAGATGGCAGTCAAAGAGTAATTTTAAGATGATTTTCCACATAGATATGTTTGAACTTTTGTCATTAGTTAATTTGTTTTTATGCTAAGAGTAGTTAAATTTTACTTTGTTTCAAGAAAAAAAAGAGCAAGAGAGAAAAGAAAGCTAATGCCTATAATGTTTGGTGATTTTGTGCCATTAACTTTTAGCTGGCAGCATGCTTTTACCCAGATGGTATATTATGGCATGGTGTTTATCTTTTGATGGTAAGTTTGATAGTAAGCACTGTGTAAAAAAAGAACATCAACTCCTAAAATGTGACTATAATTAAAATACAATATTTATTTCAAGCTTGGTGCTTTATTTTAAACATTGATGGATTCAAACCAAATCAAATTACTAAAGTAGGATAGTGGGATATTGGCTCCTTATGTAGATTAGTCCAAGAAGCTCCCCAGGGGTACACACACCTGAAAAAATCCAATGTATTCATGACCATGCACGGTATTGTATAAATCCAGTCAAGTTTAAGACTATACTTTGATGCCTTCCTTTGTTTTCATAACCCGTAATCGATCACTCAGTGCACACCTTCTGTTAGTAGAGAATAAAATTCCCACAAATTAAAGATCATCGTCTTTTGTCACCTCCAGCGGCGAGATAGTCTGTGGTATAGCAGATCTTCAATAAAGTCATATTATAGATCCATGGTGTATGAGCTCAAGCGTGGGCGGAGTCCATTGCTCTCCGTGGGCGGGGTCATTCCAGCAGACGTGGCAATCGTCTACGTCATCATAGTGTGCCTGATTCATGGGAAAGGAAAGAGCTGCAGCACCGAGCAGTAAGTACTATAATAGCTAAATTTTCACAATATTTAGCCTCTGACAGTGTGCATGTAGAGGTCCTGTCTGTTCTTTATGAGTTCCTCCCAGACCTGCATCTAGGCTCTTTCCATCCTATTTCAGATACATGTGAAACAGAACAGCAGATATCAGTGTACTCTGTAAATAAATTGTGACTGTTTTAAACTTCTGTTTAAACATGTAACTATTTATTTTAATAGTTACATGTAGACCCAAAACCGCATTAGCCTTTTCAAATCATAATCTGATAGATCAGGGTTACTCCTGTTTTTGTGGATACCAGTCACCAAATGAGAGATGAATTGTGAAAATCTTATTCATTTATTGGTTTTGTCAAGTTACTATACTAAGCAAATATCTAATGCTAATACATATTGTTGCATTTTTGTTTGATTGATTAATTTTAAAAAACATAATTTCATTTCTGGTAAGAAAAAGAAGATGATGGAAGAAAGTGGGATAGAAAGTACACCTCCAGCCAGCCCTAACCCCCCAAGTTTGCCCCCCACAATGGCTCCCATAGCCAGTTCTCCTCCGGAGTCTTCTGGTAAGTTTGAAGATTTTATATCTTCCAAAGCATTGAATCTCAAACACTTAATACAGGTGGTGTTTTCCAGGCTTGACCAGTGCCATGCCATTCCCAAACACCAGTTCCATCTCTGTTGGTTCTCCCTCCGTCTCTGCCCCCAACCCCTCTCTCTCGTTGCCAGCCATCACCAGCCCTTTGGTCCCATCTCTGTCTGGGCCGTACCAGTCTCCCTCCACATTCTCTGCTCCTTTCACCAACACCAATTTGTTTCCCACCACTGCCTCTCCTTCCTTGCCAATGCCACCTCTGACCTCTTTGGTGGGACCGCCACCTGCTGCTGCTCCTGGGCTGACAACGCCCCCTGTTGGTCCTCCTATGACTGGATTCTCTATGAGCGCTGGATATGACATCACAAGAGGCCACGCTGGGCGAGCGCCACAGACACCACTAATGCCTTCTTTCTCTAATCCCTCTGCCATGCCAGGTATTTCCCTGCCATTAATTATAAAATGTTTTAAATAAGAAAAGAGTTAAGGAGTATCTTAATGAAATGGTTTGTCATAGATGACTATAACTATATAAATCATTTGAATGCTTACTACACTTTTGTGTCAAGGTGTTGTGTCTAACCCCATGGTGCAACAGCCCGTTATGTCTGGTGGAGTAAACACTGGCTCTCCCATTACTTTTCCGGTGGAGCACGAAGACCCCAGAGTGTCTGGACCTCCAAATGCGGGTGGGGGCCTTTGGGGATTCTTTAAGGTACATTTCCTATCATAGTGATGTTTGCACCGTTTGCACATCTTTTGTTCTTTTGTTTGAAGAGGATGTCTCACATTATTAAATCAATTACAACAATAAATGAAAAAGTTATTATTATTTTTATTATTAAATAAAAAAATGAAGAAATAAAAACATATCTTTTGAGTCTAACTCTTAGATCTTCTCAGGGTGTAGCAGGTAACACTGTAGTGAAGACTGTTCTGGATAAAACAAAGCACTCTGTGGAATCGATGATCACCACTTTGGACCCTGGAATGGCTCCTTACATCAGTGAGTAAACATGATGCTAAATTAGATTAATGGCATAATTCTCATATCAAAAAATATTCACAGTTGCACAAAGACTCTAAATGGCTGTGTGCTGTTGTTCACCAGAATCTGGGGGAGACATTGACATTGTTGTGACATCAGAGAAAGAGATGCACATAGAGGCTGTGAGAGATGCTTTTCAGGAAGTGTTTGGGATGGCCATGGTAACTGGAGAGGCTGGACAATCCAACATTGCTCCACAGCCAGTTGGTTATGCTGCTGGCATCAAGGTTCTTCAAAAACAGCAGTAAATTAATAATCAAATTTCTTAAATGGATTTATTTCATAAATCAAATGAATGTACAATGTTCAGGGGGCACAGGAGCGCATTGACAGCCTGCGGCGGTCTAGTGTGATACACGAGAAGCAACCAGTCGTCTCTTTGGAAAACTTCATTGCTGAACTTTTTCCTGACAAGTGAGAGGCTGATTATTAAATTGCCAATAGAATTTGTATAAGAATAGACACCTGAATTAACTAAATTCAGTCTTTATTATTTAAATCCCATAACATGTTTAACTTATTTACTGCCTTCAGGTGGTTTGACATTGGTTGTTTGATCCTGGAGGATCCAGGGCACAATATCCATATTGAGGTCTTTACTCAAGCTACACCTCTGGCTCTTGAGCATGTGCAGCAGGTTTGTTAACACAAACATTTACCTTAACCTTAACACTACCTTAATAAGCCCCTATGTCACTAAATTACCTACTTCTTACTAGACATTTAAATTGGTGATCTTCTTGACTGTTTTAGGCTCAGGCATTGACACCTCCTGACTACAGTTTACGGTGGTCTGGTCTTATTGCAACAATGGGTGAGGTTCTGGAGCGAAGTCTTCCCAATATCAACCGCACAGACTGGCATTTCGCCTTGACGGGCATGACCCAGCGTCACATGATACAGAGTGCAGCCAAAGCTCTGGCAGGGATCTACAAACAACAACTGCCTCCACGGACTGTTTAGAGCTGCTGTGTAAGCCCATTGTAATTAATTAATCTACAAGAGATGGATTCTCTAGTATTGAACGTTGAGCATTAGGAGAGCAACTATCCAAATTTTGCACAAGGTTTCCCTCTGCTCTAGTCTACATGCATCCACTGAAGCCAAATGTACATATTGTTTGTGTGAATTATTTTACATGTCAGCCTTTTTTTTTTTTTTTTTTTTTACAGAAGTTTTAATTGATCTCTTAAGTTTTCTTTCACTGTCTCTGATCTCTCAATTTATTGCAACTAATTGGCTGGTTGATAATATCTGATAATATAATAGCAATAATGCCAATAAATTTATGTTTGGGTTGTAAAATATGATTTCAGATCAAGTGCACAGAATGTTCCAGTTATACTCTCCATACTGTGTGGCGTAACACTGAAGTAGGCAATCCACTATTCTTTATAATTATCCATCCATTCAATTTCACTTTTCCAAGCTGTTTCATGTTTGTAATGATGTCGTATTCATATAGGATAATGCAAATCAGATAATTGTCTTAATTTGGTATATGTTATCTGGCCCCAGGTAAGCGGAAGAAAATGGATGGATGGATTATCTAAATATACTTCATTGTGCATCATTAATTACTATTGCTTATTTAACACTTTTCTTTGAGTCACTTTTTATTAAATTAATGATTGAAATGCAGTATATACAGTACTTGGAATCAGCACTGGTGGGTTTTTTTTCCTATCCACTTGAAATCAAAACTGGCACAGTCCAACATTTATTGTCAGCAGAAACAAAGGTGCAATTTTATTTTTTTCAAAAAGTAGTTGCATTACTCTTCTCACTTGTCAGTTGAAAGAACTTTGATCCATGAGTTTAAAATGTAACAAAAAATATTCTTGTTCAATTTTTGTGTCTTTTTCATTTGGTTATTCCTTCCAAAAATGTAGTTATATAGCCCCCTGCTTTTCATCTGAAAATAAGACACTAAATAATCTAGAACAGGAACACAACATAATATAACTGTTGTGACCTGCAATCCTACCTCATCACTTTCACACTTTCACACACTCAAGATGAAATGCCTTTAAATTATACACCATGGCATACATAGTTTGTTGCTTTCTTTTTGTCTCTAACAAAGCTATATGTAAAGCAACTGTACCATGCTTTCTGGTACATAATTTGAAAAAAAAAGTACTCTCTTAAACTTTTTAGCTGTTGTGTGTATACTTAAAGGTACACAAAACTAGAGCCTGACCGATATGGATTTTGTTGTGGCCGATATGAAACCAATATAATGGGAGTTGGAGCTGCCGATAGCCGATATAATCGCCGATATATTTAGTGATGTAAAAATTCACTGTAAATCTTGAATTGTTTAAAAAAACTTAGGTTTGGCTCTAGTGGATTCTAAATTGGGTTTATTTAGGCAACATTTATTGTTATTCTGCCTCTTTACATCATATTTACAGACAGTAGATTGGCCTAATGGCATTTTTGCATCACATTCTAGCTACTAGTGATGGGTATTCCAGTTTTTTGTTTTTTTTTTGGAAAACTGACTCTTTTGGCTCGGCTCACTAAAGCAGCTGGCTCTTTCGGCTCCCAAGCGACTCTTGAGATTGTTTTGTTGCAACCAGGACTAAACCAGAACTGAACCAGGACTGAGTGTCGGGACTCGGTCTCTCCCTCACTCGAGCCCAAGATTAGTCCTGGTTTATTCATTTTATGCTGAACTGCAGCCAAATATGCACTTTTTTTTTTATCCTGTTCACACGCATAGATCTGAAAGTTTCGTTTTCAGCCGCTGCTGCTGTCAAACTACGGGTCTACAAGCGGCTTGAAGAGAAAAAGTGAGAAAAAGAGAAAACACGGCTCCCAATAAGAAACATGCTCCCGTTGTTCGCTCTAAGAGCGACCCATCACTACTAGCTAGTAAAGAAACTACCGCTATTAGCCTTTAGTCGTAAAAATGTGCACGCCGCAGTAATTAACTATATGCATAAATGTGGACCATTCACACGTCTATTCACAGCTCATTTACATATCAGTGCAGGTCCAGTAACAAATATACGGTCAATATAGTCACTTTACAATAAGCCAATAGAAAACAGCCTGTTTATGTGCGGGAGCTACAGAAGCTAATCGCTTATAACAAATAGCCAAAACTAGCTTCAAAGTCGATGTATTTCCAACACTCACACAGGCTCCTCCTCACATCACAAGTCTGCACTAATAAATGTCCTTTTAATCCAGACTCAAACCAATTGTCCATAAAAAGAATATAATCTCAGTGTTGCACACGGCTGCGGGTGTAAACAAGAGCATGTGAGTGAAGTGACGTCACTCTGGGGGTGTGTTCAGGGACAGTATGGACTCAGACACAGACAAATTACACCGCAGATAAATACTGATGTGGAGCCACATATTAGGACATTTATCTGTCTATAAATTGGATTAAATTAACATAATGTAGAGAGTCTAAGCTTTATAACGAGGTATAACATGCCCAAGGGAAATATCGGCCCATATCAGCAAGCATATCGGCTGATAGCCGATATATCTCCAGTTGCCCATATCGGCAGATAATACCGGCCAGCCGATATATCTGTCAGGCTCTACACAAAACCCATCTTTTTATTGCTCTGTGTACACACTGGTCTGGTCACAAGCAAAGATATTTGTACTGATGAGAATGATAAAGGTCACATCCTGATAAGAGCCTTTTATACCAAAAGACTGAGTAACAAAACAATCTGTTCTCAGTCTATTCATAAATGTCATGATGCATACATATGTGTTACAACACAACACAAATAAATACAGTATCTCTACAGTATCTCGGTATCTACAGTATCTCTTATCAGGACTGAGGCAAGGCACATTTATTTGTATAGCACAATTCATACAGAAATTAGTAATTAATAATTCAAAGTGCTTTACAAAATAAGGATGACACAAATAAGCGTAAAATAATTAATATTAAAAGAGAAGAATAATATACTTCCATTTTAGATTCAGCTTTACCCTGCTGATTAATTTCAAACACTTCCTGACATCATTATCTTAAATGTATGTAAGCATATAAAACTATCTGTAATAATATTTTTGTAAAATGGGGATTTTTCAATTAGTCGAGTAGTCAATTGATAATCTTTATTGAATACTGATACTTTTAAATACATTATCAACCAAAAAAAGTTGAAATATGGTGGCAGAAGCCAGAGAATATTTAATACATTTATTACTGAAGAACAGGAATTCTTTTTTGATTTAATAATGCCTCTTATTTAAAAAAAAAATAAATAAAAAATCATATGCATTTTAGATTCTATATAGTCCAGATAAAAATTAGAACTGTCAAAACACAACAACTGTTTTATTAATAGTCAGCTAGTCACTATTCACTTTTTTTTTTACACAGCATTTTCATTTTATATAATTTGTCACAAAAAGTATATTTTATAATGTACAGTATTTACCACGTGAAGGATTTCTACCTTTCAAAACATAACTGCATAAATATATATTTGAAATGGGGTGGAGGGACATCAGGAGCGTGATGATACTGACAAGATAAACAAGATTCTAGACGGTATTATGAAACTCGCAGGAATAGCATTTAGAGTAGTACTACATATTCTCCTGGATTTAAATTATAAATAATTCCTTTTAATTTCTGTTGTAAAAGGAATTAAAGGATGACACAAAATTTCACTGGATAATTTTGGGCCCAATTAGTACCCTTGTCAAAATTATTATTTCATTTTCACAGGCTAGATCTATTGTAAACTTCTTCTTTTTAGCAGAGGGCATATAACATCATATAACATAACCTAGGTGTTTTTATTTTTATTTTGGAAGATGCCAGATGGTGGGCAGAAGTCATCCTGCATCAGAGACCCCCGTATAGACCAGCTAACTAGATGCACTGACTCTCCCTTCACTATCAGCGGAACAGAGAGGAGCAGTGCAGGGTGGGGGTTGGATGGAGGACAGTCTGCAGCCTGTGGGGAAGCACAGACTGGTGTCTTCTGCTCTGAATGTTCCCGTGCCGCATGGTGCTGAGGTGGATGTCAGCGGAATGCACCAGTGCCACAGGACCACATCTCCACTTCAAACATGGATCTTTTACATGCTCCAGACAGAGGTAGAGGCTATGTCTCACTGTCACCATGGCTGCAATATTTTTAATGTAAATAAGGAATAGGAACATGTAGAATATGCCTAGGTCTGATCTGTGCACGTGTGGATGGTAAAGATGGTAAAGCACTGCACTTGTTGAACAATTTGAGTCTCAAATTAAATTGCCTATTTAGAATGCTTAGAATGGCATTGACATACTCCATAATGACTCAAGACACAACAAATTCCAGGCACTCCAAAACAGTAGAAAAAGTTAACACATCGCACGAGGAAAAATATAATTAAAAGGCCTTTATTTGAATGGCCAAAGCCAACATGTTTCGACCTTAACTGGTCTTCATCAGGGCTTGATTAAGAACAAAGCATGGGTGCATGCTTTCTTGCATGTGATGTGTTAACTTTTTCTACTGTTTTGGAGTGCCTGGATCCTTTTTTCCAAGAGCACCCTCTAGTTGCTCCTACTGATTGGAACACCTGCAGCAAACAGCCACATTTTTGTTCTTTCTGCATAGATACTCCATAATGACTTTAAAGTACACTGCAAAGACGCTTTGCCCTATCATCCTAACACTTCACCCTAACATATAAAGCAGTAGATCACGAGAGCACATTTGTCTCGTCATATGGGCCACTGTACGTCCCACCTGTTCTCAACAAAGCTGCATTATACAGGCTGTTGTGAATCGTCATCAGTTCAACAAGTTGTCCATTCAGGAACTGAGCAGCAGAGCACATATCTGCCCCAGCACCTGTTCATCATCTGTCTGCATCTGACTTGTATGTATACTCTAAGCCTATGCCAATGTCCTCATGGCTAATATACTATTATAACATTGTGACAGCGATTTGATAAATTATATGAACGTCTTTATCCAAGAAGTATGTACACTATCCATAGTCCTACAAGAAAGCACTTTAATACGCAAAACCCAGTGTTGTTCATGCAATGTCTATTAAAGCACATTAAGGCACAGATAAAATACATTACCTGAGTGGGCGGTGTGAGAGAAGCAGGAGTTCAAGTTATCTGAAATATGCTGAGCAATATATAGTCCTCATGCAGAGTGGATCAGGATGCAGTCCCTCCTAAGACAAAAAACACAGAGTATACATTTTATTGAAAAATTACCACAAATGACATTCTCTTCCTTGGTGAAGTGTGGCCTCTTGGAGACAGTTTGGCCCTGTACGCTGAGAATAGATGCCACTTGTGATCACTATCCTTAAAATACAGTCTTCTCATTTGTGGCACCATGCCATGAATTACCTCAGTCAATATGCACATAGGTTACAGTGTTCTTACTGCTGGCTCATTGGGGTTTGCTGTTTTATGAGGAACATTTCTCAGAATCCAAACTGAACTAAAAAGAGAGTATTATATTGTTCAATCTATCTGAAAATTGTGGGTAAATTGGCTTGTCAATTGACTTGCAGATATTGAGCTCCTTGTGTGGGGCCAAGACCACACTCTTGTGAAGAGGATGCTACAGTGCCCCCTGTTGGAGCTGCAGTGCAACTGTCGTTCCCCATACACATCGGATATCCTGGATAATGGAGGGAGGGTCCTTCACATCTGCGCTTTTCTCTCTGCTGCACTCGGCCGGGGGACACTTTGTAGCTCTCTCCTCCTCCTCTTCCTCCTCTACCTCCTCAGACTCTGCACTTGCTGCCATGTCTCTGGAGCAAAAGACCACTTTTGCACTGGTGGTTTTCCTCTTTGTCTTCCTGCTCATCCTCATAGTGCGCTGCTTCAGAATTCTTTTGGACCCGTACAGGAGTATGCCCACATCAACCTGGGCAGATAGTCTGGAGGGTCTGGAGAAGGGCCAGTTTGACAACACCCTGGCATAAGCCTGCACAAATACGCACCAAAGCACACAATGTAGCACATTACATTGGGTTTTATTTATATATGACAGTCAAGGATGTTCCTCCCACTGTCTTGTTTTGTACATACAAAAACAAATAACTGAACTGTACAACATCCCAGATTTCATAGTCTGTCCACCTGTGAACAAGTTTTCACATTCAGAAGTCAATGTTGATATTAGCCATTTTTCCCCATTTTCCTCTCTTTATGTACAGTGTTGCATTACCTTAAGGCATTTTATAGCTACAATGTGTATTAACTAAATGTCAAAATGTCAGGTGTTCTGCTGCATTTTTCTCAAATAGGTTAATATTTACTACACTGAACAAGTATAATGGAGTTTTTATTCATATCAATAGTTGAGAAAGACATCACAGCAAGTCACAGTGTAGTTAGTAGTATGGTAAAGAGAAAATGCCGCATAGGTTTCCATCCAAAAAACACCTCAATTTATATCAAATACTTAATCAAAATTCAGATGTGCACTTGCACTGTAAACACCATGAAGAAAAAACAGACTGGAGTGCCTCTCCCATACAGGGTATTATAATAGCCATTGTGTCACCTCTTTTTCGTCTTCTTCATCTTGCTAATGATGCTCCTTTTGCTGTGTAAGCTGCCAAAATCGTAATTGCTTTCTTTTCCAATGTGAATTAGAGAGTTTAAATGTGTACACCGATTAAGTAGCCTATATTTATTAAATAGAAGAAAATATTTTGGCAGGACTATATGGGGACAAGTGTTTGCACTACTGCATTGTTTCTCAACAACTGGGTCACAGCCCTCAGGTGGATCAGCATGTAGGTCTGCAATATACAGTACTGACACATGTTGAAATGTTAAGACATGTTTTGTATATATATATATATATATTTTTTTGTAAGTATTTTATTATTTTATTTACTATTTTGTTCCAGTATTGCTGGTTCAATTGAATGTTGAAAAGAAAAATAAATGGGCTACATTTAATGTCCAAATAGGCCACTTATGGATCCTTTTATTGCCGGTTCAATTACTTTTTTTCATTGTTTAAAACTTGAATAATACTAATTGTTCAGAGAGACACTGTCACTCAGTCAACAATAAAATATTCTCATTAATGGTCAAATCCACCTTTATTTTGTGATTTACAAAGAATGTCTATTGACATGGGTTGTGAAGGTTTGTGACCTATAAAATATGGGTCCCCAGAAGAAAAGTTTGGGAAACACTGCACATTAGGGTACAAGGGTTTAAAACAGATTTGATCATCTATAGCTACAAAAACAAATAGATTTAAATCCAGACTTTATGTGCTGAGTTCTAAGTGTCTTGATGGGAGATTATGATGATTATCCACATTGTTCAGTAAAGGCATTTGAAAACTTTTCAAGGCTCAAGGTTCTTTATTTGTCATTCAAACATGCGAGAGAAACACATGACAGAACGAAATGTGCTCCCCGAGGCCCAGTGATCCAGAAAGAGATAAAAAAACAATAATAAATAAGCAATGTTAAAAAATAAATACATTTAAAACAACAACATTTAGCAGTCCAATGAACAAGTAGTAAAACGTGGCAAGATAGAGAGAGAGGCAACCCAAGCAGGAAGTCAGTGTGCACTGTTCAAAAGTCTGACAGCCTCAGGAAAGAAGCTGAACTTCAGCCGAGATGTTCTAGCTTTAATGCTCCTCAGTCTCCTCCCAGAGGGCAGAGGAACAAACAGATGGTGGGAGGGGTGCGAGGGGTCCCCCATGATCCTGGAGGCCCGTCTTCTACAACGCTCCTCATAAATTTCACAGATGGGTGTGTAGTCACATCCAGTGATCTTCTCTGCTGCTCTGACCACACGCTGTAGAGCTTTCCTGTCCTGGGCTGAGCAGTGGCCGTACCACACTGTGATGGACTGGGTCAACAGTTTGTCTTTCAAAAGTACACACAGGAAGAGCTTCACTGTGTTTTTAAACTCCATACATGTTCACTAGAATCATTTGGATGATTTCAGCCCAGGAATTGCCAATCTCTACTGAACTAAAGGTAAAAGGTAACTATTAACATGAAAACTAACACCACATGACACCATAAGATGGAAAAGACCATTTTAAGCTATGGACATATAGACAGAATAATAAAGGGTTACTCAAACTGTGTGAATGAAACAAAACACAACTCCAGGTATGTTTTTGAAGAGATAACAATATTATAACAGGGCTATAACATGGTTTAAAGCTCACAAGTGTCAATTTTGTGTATTATAGGATCTTCAAGTTATTCCTAGCTGGCATAGATGGAATCACTTTGAGATAATAGGTTGTAGGCTTTTAAAATCTTTCTTTCTTAATGCACACGACCAACACTGCAAAAGCAACAGGGCTATCATTAGGCCTATTATTTGTTACTTTCCGCTTGTAGTAAATTGTCTTTTTTGTTTTTTTTCGCTTAAGTTGCTAATATTCTTCATTGTGTTTGTGAGGAATCTCACATGCATATTGCTTTTGATTTTTTCTAGGCAAGAGTTTAAAATTGTTAGTAGTCTGTATAGGTTTTGACCAATCATATTGAGATCACGAATGTAGCCTCATGGGCTCCATCAGCTTTAAAAATACTTTTTTTTCCCCCTAACAGAACTCAACACTGCTGTAGCTGCAAAGAAAAATGAAACAGCCATAACAGGAAATGACAAAAAATGGGAATCAGCCGTTAACTGTGATCTATTATAGCGCCTGGTTTAGTATACAGCGCGTCTGCTCTCTGGCCCCTCTCTCTCTCGCTCTCTCTCTCTTGTCCATTCCAAGTATGCCTAAAGCATGGATCCAGGCCTCAAGTCAATCTGGAGATACGGCGGTGTGATCCACAAGTGTACCCTCAGCTTTAAATGAAAGAACGCATTGCGTCGAGCCCAGCCATTGGCCAGAAACGCGCAGCGTAAAAATTTCAATGAGCCGCCATATTGGCAGGACAGCCCCTCTTTCATTCGCTTTGAGGCAAGCCAAGAGCTACTTTCGGGACAGTTCGAACGACCGCCGGCGAGAATTCAGCTTCACGGTTCAGAAAGATTGGTCTGCGCCGGCGGAGGGCTGTTTTAGAGGGTTTGGAGTCCATCGTATTAGGTTGTAGCTGCTCTTACCACAATGGCGTCTGTGCCTACGACTCCAACCGGCCAGAAAAGCACGTGTGGCGTCGGCACACCACTGAGTCCGACCAGGATCACCAGGCTGCAGGAAAAACAGCAGCTACGGGACTTGAATGACCGCCTGGCTGTCTACATTGACAAGGTCCGCAGTCTTGAGTCAGAAAACGATGTGCTCCATCTGAAGATTAGTGAAAAGGAAGAGGTCCGGAGCCGGGAGTTGAGTGGGCTGAAAGCTCTGTATGAGACCGAGCTCGCCGACGCCAGAAAGAGCCTGGATGACTCCTCCAAGGAGCGGGCCTGGCTGCAGATTGAGCTGGGAAAAATCAAAACTGACCATGACCAGCTGCTTCAGAGGTAATCTCTGGATTCTTAAATTACACAAAGCTAATGCATAGCCGAAATAGCAAAATGCCTCATATAGAGACTTTGATTTTGGAGCCATTTTGACCGCATTACGCACGCGTTACGTTTGACTCTATGCGTCGTTTTACATACTGTTAAAAAGTAAAACTATTCGCAAACTACAGTTTTTTTGTGTGCCCGTTTTTTATATACATAAGAATTAGTAGTATTCTTATCTATTATTGTTGATGCTGAGAATACAGTTTTTAGTTTGTGCACAGTATAGTCTGTTAAATGTTATACTTTGAAATTCAATAATGGGCCACTGAACCGCCGTGCACCATTGTTTACGGTCTCAAAGCGCGTTTTAGTGTGGTATCAAAAATCATGCATTATATTGTATTTTGTATACAATTTGACTTGCACAATAGTATTTTTCTATTGCTTAACGGCGACGTTATTTTTATTTTATTTATAAACAATTATTTTATTTATTAAAAAAATATATATATTTTGACTAGTTGGCACACGCTTGCACCAGTGTCCTATCAGATGTTGCTCCTTTGTGTGTGGCTATACCCTGAACACACACTGACAGAAAACCACAGGTGCCACGGACAGCATTTGGCTTTGCAGGGAGCAGTATTTTGTTGACCAATGCAGATGGTACTGATTTGTAGTAAACATCTTTGATTATTTATTTACAGGCCTAACGCTGAAAGTTGACATATGAGTTTTTAAACACACATGTCACCTAAGCTATACTATATATTTAGTAACCTTTCTTTTTTTTGTTTTCTCTCATTTTGTGCAACACTAAACTGTCTAAATGAACAGGCCAGGGTTGTTTGATAAGGCTGTGACTGTCTTTAGCTGTATGTTTTGTTATGGTGTAAAACCATTCAAGTTAGGCGTGGTGTGCTTCCTTTAAGGTCTCAGTAAAATGTCAGAAAGCACACATACCACAGAACATTCCACTCATAGTTTTTCCCCTTCAGTCCCACCCGCCTGTCTGCACACCGGGAAAATACACTCTACTCACAAACTTAATGAAAGGGTCTGCTTGTTGACACTGTTAAATCAGGGCTAGGGCTTACAACCGGATGTCACACTTGTTTTCCTGTAAAGTTTCATAGTTGTTCTGTCAACTGTAACTTAATTATTGTATTGCTTTCATAACTATGGATTAGTTTTGAATAAGCAGACTGACACTGGACATGTCACCACTGATGTTTGCTGCCACTAGAGGACTCCATTTACTAAATAACTGTTAATTATATCAGTGTTTCAGGAGGATGGCAAATAACCAAGATCATTATGACTTGGAAAATGGATACGACCAATGGCATTTCTAAAAAGGTATTACAGTTCTTACATTTCAAGTTCATTATATTCTGCTCCACTTTCAGCTACAACAAAAAGGACTTGGAGGCAGCAAATGCTCAGTCCCGGCTAAAGGATCTAGAAGCGCAGCTCAACTCCAAAGATGCAATGCTGGCCACTGCCCTCTCTGAAAAGAGGGGTCTGGAAGCAACTATTAATGACCTGCAAGAACAACTTCAAGAGGTACATCTATAGGCGGTACTTTTGAATATATGTTAAAGTGGTTCATATGAAATTAATTTGTTGTATATTTCATAGCTCGATATTGGCCTTGCCCAGGCTAAAAAACAACTTGGTGATGAGATGCTTCTGCGTGTTGATTTGGAAACCGCTGCCAAAGTCTGACAGAGGAGGCAGAATTCCGTAAAAGCATGCATGTGGAGGTATGTTGTGAATCTTTTTCTAATTTAATGGTGTCTGTGGCCAAATATTTTCTTTCAAGGGAATATTGGTGCTTTTTATGTATTTCCTTTTACAAATCTATTAATTATAGTAAAAATTATATACAATTTGTTAAAGAATACCACATTTTATGCAGGAAAAAGTTGTCTTGCTTTTCATTTGAGTTCTACGGAGAATATTGTGCATGTGTTTAATTTATACCATGCATAATCATCCATCCATTTTCTTCCGCTTATCCGGGGCTTTAAGGGAGCGCCCAGCCACCCTGTGGAGGAAACTCGTTTCGACCGCTTGTTTCCACAATCATCCTTTCGGTCATTACCCAGAGCTCATGACCATAGGTTCGGCTCAGCTCCCTCTTCACCACAACGGTCCGATACAGTGACCGTATCACTGCCGATGCTGCACCGCACTCGTGAACAAAACCCTGAGATACTTGAACTCCTCCACTTGAGGCAGGGACTCTCCACCTACCCGGAGAGGGCAAGCCACCTTTTTCTGGTTGAGAACCATGGCCTCGGACTTGGAAGAGCTTATCCTCATCCCAGCCACTTCACACTCGGCTGCAAACCGCCCCAGTGTATGTTACAGGTCCTGGCTTGATGAAGCCAGCAGGACAACATCATCCGCAAACAGCAGAGATGAGATCCTGTGGTCCCCAAACCGGACCCCCTCCGGCCCCTGACTGCACCTAGAAACCTGTCCATAAATACAATGAACAGAACCAGTGGCAGCCCTGGTGGAGTCCCTGGCCGAGATTTGACTATTGGCCGGATTTTCCTCTCCAGTACCCTGGCATAGACCTTATCGGGAAGGCTGAGGAGTGTGATTCCCCTGTAGTTGGAACACACCCTCCGATCCTCCTTATACAGAGGGACCACCACTCCGGTTTGCCAGTTCAGAGGCACTGTCCCCGACCGCCACGAGATGTTGAAAAGGCATGTCAGCCAAGACAGCCCTGCAGCATCCAGAGACTTAAGATACTCAGGGCGGATCTCCTCATTCACCCCCGGAGCCTTGCCACCAAGGAGCTTGCCAACCACCTCAGTGACTTTAGCCAGGGTGATGGACGAGTCCGCCTCCGAGTCCCCAGCCTCGGCTTCCTCCTCGGAAGACGTGACGGTGGGATTGAGGAGATCTTCAAAGTATTCCTTCCACCGCCGGACAACGTCCCCAGTCGAGGTCAACAGCTCCCCCCCCCCCACTGTAAACGGTGTTTGTGAAGAACTGCTACCCCCTCGCCGTCGCCAGACGATTTGCCAGAACCTCCTTGAGGGTGTCCAATAGGCCGATATCTGACCATGCTCAGTCATTATCTGACCAAATTATATGGTAACATGGTTTTTAAAAAAAGTGTATAAAAACAGGAGATGCACGTGAATTAAGAAAACCTATGACGTTATTATTACGACATATGATGTCTTTCTCTGGAGTTGAATGAATACAGAACCTTGATAGGTGTCCTTTTTGTGAGACTTCCATTTGCACACATTTATTTACAAGCTTCGGTCTTGGATAAGTGTACTGCTCCTTTGAAGAAATTAATTCTGTTGGTTTACCGGAAAAGCCCAAAGGCAAACAATCTGCTTGCTCTGCTACTCCAACTGTTTAATTCACCATATTATTGAATTCTTATGCAAGAGTCAACTGACATGTCAGAGAGCGCGTGTGTGTTCGCTACTGTGTATCGTGATTGGACCCTGAATGCTGAACTAATTTTCATCAATTGTCAGAAATCTGTTTTCTTATAATGTTACAGTTGGAGTTAATGTGTATTATGGTTCTGAGCTTTGCCTAGAGGGCCAATCACAAAATCAACTGTTAATGATTTTATTACATGAAAAACTATGCTTATTTCAGGAGGTGAAAGAAGCTCGGCAGCGCTATGAGACACGGTTGGTAGAGGTCGACTCTGGCCGCAAAGAAGAGTATGAATACAAGCTGACCCAGGCCCTGGCCGACATGAGGGCTCAAAATGAAGAGCAGATTCTGATCTACAAGGAGAACATGGAGAGCACCTATGCAGCCAAAGTATGAAATCCTATAATCAACTTAAGATGCACAAAAGCAATGACATAAATGTTTAAAGAATTAAGTTTACACATAACCATATAGGACCATTTACATTGTTGAGTGCTCTGTCTCACCACAACATGATTTCCTGCTTGTCAGGAAGTGGCAGCGCAAGCTTAGTTCCTCTTATATGAGGTAAGTGACAAGAAGAAATCTGTTTTTATTCCTCAGCTGGAAGATCTGCACCGTTTGTCTGAGATGAATGGTGCATCTGCAAACATGGCCCGAGAAGAGTTGAGGGAGTCCAGCCTGAGAATAGAGAGTCTGAGCGCACAGCTTGGAAGCCTGCAGAAGGAGGTGAGATAAACATACTAGGAAATGAGCTATACATGCACAGCAGAATTTTTTTTTTACTTGGTTTAGAATATATTTTACACATTTAATTTGTAGAATATATGATTGGATGTGATTTTAACATTAAATGTATCACATTAAGAAAATAATAAAAATCTTACCTGTAATATAGTAAAACCATCTGTGCCTCCTCTGTAGACCAGAGGATGGAGAGACCGCATCTCTGAATTAGAAGCAACTTTGGCCCAAGAGAAGGACAACAGCCGTAGACTGCTGGCTGAAAAAGACCGTGATCTAGCAGAGATTCAAGCCAAAATGCATCAGCAACTAAATGAGTATGAACAACTGCTGGATGTGAAACTTGCACTGGACATGGAGATCAATGCCTACCGCAAACTTTTAGAAGGAGAAGAGGAGAGGTAAACATCTTCATAGGACACACATTTTATGCGGTTCTGCTGGTAACATTGGTCCTTGTTGTTCTAGGCTGAAACTCAGCCCCAGCCCTACAGCTCGTGTGACAGTGTCTCGAGCTTCATCCAGCAGCCGAAGTGTGCGCACCACTCAGGGCAAGCGTAAACGTGTGGATGTGGAGGAACGGGAAGCCAGTAGCTCTGTGAGCATCTCTCACTCTGCCTCAGCCACAGGGCCTGTCCTTATTGAGGAGATTGACACTGACGGCAAATTTATCTGTCTTGGCAACAGCAGTGATGAGGTGGGGCGAAGGTTGTTTTGATCTTTGACAATTTAGTTTCATGTCTGTAAACACATCTATGAAAATGTTTCCCAGGACCAAGCTATGGTTGGTTATGAACTCTTGAAGACAATTGGAGAAACATCAGCCACTTACAAGTTCACTCCCAAGTTTGTCCTTAAAGCTGGCCAAAAAGTCACGGTAAGAGGTTTTTGACCTGCTGACTTGATCCGTCTTTATCAGTGAACCCTAACTCCAATTTTATTGTTTGTGCCTCTTCCTGGTTAAACATAGATTTGGGCCTCTGATGCTGGTGTGAGCTCCAAGCCTCCTTCTGACCTGGTGTGGAAAAGTCAGAGCTCGTGGGGATCAGAGGAGGATGTTGTGGTGGTGCTCTTGAACCCTCAGGGAGAGGTGAGGCAGCGTTTACCAGACTGTTGTGTAACGCTAGTTTGTTTCACTTTCAAATTAAGCATAACACATGGTTTGTGTAAACAGGAAGTGGCAAAAAGGACCACCATTTATAATGCACCAATCGAAGAGGAACAAGGCGATGATGGTATGCAGGCCATTGAGGAAGAACAGCAAGTGGTAAGATTGAGAATAGATTATATAGCAACAGACATAATGGTGAATTGTGTAGATTAGTATTTTGAACTTCAACATGTTTGAAAAATTCTTTGCATTGACACTGTTGCTTTGTTTAGGTTAACGAAACCAAGAGATCCAACTGCGCCATTATGTAAAGGTTTTCATATGATTTCACATCTGCTGACCACCTCCACTGAGCCCAGCCACTCCGCTGCCAACTACAATACCTACAACTATTTTTCTATCTTTTTATAGTGTTTTAATAAGATTTTATGTTTTGATGTTTTGATTTTGTCTTTTTCATGAATTTTGGTTGTTCTACTCAAAGCCAGGTTCTCTTGACACAATATGTGAGTTTTTAAACACCTTTTTAAACATTTGGTTTTGTATTTGTTATTATTTACTTGTCCTGTTGTTGGACTTAAAAACAAAGCTTTGAATTCTGACTTGAAGGCTGGTTTGAATTACTTTTCTCCACTTTGCTTTTAAAGTTGCATAATGAATGTATAGAAAATATAACTAATCATAAGCACACTAAGGACAGTGATAAAAGTGGGTAATCTGAGGATTGTATTAAAAAAATACAATCACAATAGCCAAGATTTTGTCTGCAAATACTGCCAGTCTGAGGTAAATAGTTCACAACCCAAACTGACCAGACCAAACACTAAGGAACCACTGATACACCCTACCTTATCTGGGCTGAAGAAAATGAGCCAAATAAGAAATCTGGATGCTAAACTGTGGGTTCTGTGACTCCTCACTAAGTAACCTCCTTTTGTTGACTTCAGAATATACTTGCACCACTTAAAGTGTTGATTGTATTGTTAACTTTTCATGTGTTTTGAATACTGTGTTATGCATGCTATGGCCATAATCTTCATTGTTAAATTTAAAATGTATATTTCATGTAGGCATTGTCATTTTTTAGCAGTGAATCAGGCCAGGTAGAAATAAACTTGTCAAATATTTTAGTAATTGTGCCAGCAAAGGTCTATTTTTGTATTTGATATTTTGAAGTAGTTAATTGTATTCATCTACTTAAGTGTTCTTACTTAGGCTTCTTGTTGGCCAGCCGAATCCTTGTTTATCATCCAGGTGTGTTAACTTTAGAATGTTACCAAGAACTAATTATCTTAAATAACAGGGTGCTATTCAATAAAATAAAAGCATGGACATTTGTGAATTTAATCTGAATGGAAGCACATTTTGTAAATTGGACTGAATTCTTTCATCCACATTCTTTGAACAAGAGTTGATGAATAGTGTGTGAAATTATTGGGATATAAGAGGAAATATAGGCAGAATAACCTGTACTTGCAAACACTGGTTAAAATCATTCATGTGCAGACATAAGTTACTAAAAATAAATTTAATTTATTGCTGCATGCCCCTGTGTCCTCTTGAACAGTAATTAAAAAAGTATAAATAGCACATCTAATTAAGAGCTAACTAAGTTAGCTTAATTTTCCCATAAAATACAAAGGAAAATATAGGTTTATATTTGGACAGCATTATGAACAGCCTTTGCTTTTTTCCCTCTGCAGTACACTTTTTGGTATTTTTTTGCAAATTATAATTGCAAATTGATTGTAATAAGCAAAATGCAAAAACTGCAGTTGTTTAGATAATATAATTTCCTCAGCGAACTAACCCGTTTTAACCACGACAAACATTCTCAAATGTGTGGGAGTCTTGTATTGGTCAAGATGTTAATGTTGCAGCATTCATTCTCGCAGATGTAAATGCTTTTACAGATATGTTTAGAATGTGCACTGTGCATTGAATTTTGATTAAAAAACAAATCACAAATCTAATTCTAATCATAATGCTTGATTGTAAAAATCTAAAATATTTTTCCCAAATTGTGCAACCCTAATGGATGTACCGTATTTTCCGGGCTATTAGGCCTCCAACCCCATCAAAAAATGACTCCGCGCCCGCAATCCAGAGCGCCCTGCACACGAATCCACTCGGGTGTCCCAGCACCACTTCAGTAAACTACAAAGCTGCACCACCCGCAGCGCATGCAAACACGCACAGAGCAGACAGCGACTGCATAGCGAAATGCACCCGTAGCCACACTCATCACTCCCCGCGGACGAGAAACGAACAAAACCGAGTGCAATGTGGCACTTCTAGACACAACTGAACAACTGAGTCACTGCGAACACGCCGACAATCCAGCGGTCCCAGACAGCACCCTCCCTACACGCCACAACTGAACAAAGCCCAGAGTCACCGTGAACGCGCCAAACAAAGTCTGACTGACCCAACTAACTGTTGTGTTTCGTTTAAAGTCCGGGGCGGTTTATTTGTGAAAAAAGTTTGAAAACAGACCATTTAATGACAGTGCGCCTTGTAATCCAGAGCACCTAAAAGCCCGGAAAATACGGTAATTCATCACATAACAAACCACACCCAGTGAGATCTATTTATAATTGTTTTATATTTGTACATTTTTGCCACACAAACATATCCATCAAACTACATTAAAATATAATACAAAACACCTTTGGTTTAAGTTTATTTACTTAACTCAAACACTGTGAATTTAAAAATCTGCTCAAGTGCATGTTAATCTGTGGGAGTAACAGGCTGTGCTTTACTTGTGGGAATAGGCTGCGTTCACGTTCTAGAAATCGATGTTACCGTTTCAGATGGATGGCAGAGGCCAATAAAACTCTAAGGGAGAATTACTGTTTTAAAAAATCTAAACTTCGTGCCAGTTTTTATTTCATGTGGACAGGCCCAGTAATTAGAGATAAATCTGCAACCTGACGGTTAAATAGCCAATTCCACCAAAGAACTATGACTTGTCCTGCAGATCAATTTTAAACTATAGGCCACTAGAATGTCATGACTTCATGTGAAGGCAACCGATCCATGGGTTTCAGAGTGATGAATATCTAGCACTGCTGCCATAGCAATTATCATTTCAAAAGAAAATAATATATGTTTTGAATGGACAGAAGTACTCAGAGAATATCACCTTCAAGCAGACAGCTGAAACCCATGAATACAAGATTGTGGAACACACAACAAGATTACATTGGAAAAGGCATTACGGAAAGTAAGGTTTTGGTTTTGTAGAGAAATAGCCTGGAGACAATGTGGGTAACTGCTATACATTGGCAAGCAGGCACTCTAGTCCATTAGTTTTTAGAACACAGTTTATATGTAAAATTCCAGGGATTAGAAAGTATACTTGATACTTCCCCAGACAATGTAAAGGTAGCTCATTGCCATATTTAATGTGATTAAGAGTGCATTTGTTATATTTAACTAAGTATGGTTACAATAAAAGTGCAACTACTACTAGAATTAAGGGGGTTCTCAAATATCTTGTAAGCCGGGCTTCTTCCCTAACTTGATAACTTTGTTATTCATTAACAGTCCCATAACATAGCCCAGTCCTAATTCCTTCAGGGTCCTCTGGTCTTGACCTCTATCAACACTGTAAGACACTGTAGCTAAAGAAACACTAGTATCCTAATGTTGTCATACTAAGAGTGACAATCGTCAAATCACAGTGTTAATAAGTGTGAAGTTTGGTCTGATTGAATTGGCAGTCCATAACAGCCAATACGGTGTATTATTCTGCTGAAATAAAGTGCCACCTAATGGAGCTCACTTGTGGTCTTTGACACAAGCAGTTGCAGTCATAGATTTGTTTAAAGTGCTTTGGATGCTCAAACGATTGACTCTTTGGAGAGATTCTTCACCCGCTGTGAGCTGTTTAAGGAGTGCAGCACTGGCTCACTGTGGGATCTGGGCAGCAGCAGCACCACTCTCTCATTGGCCTGCCTCCACTCATTGTAAAGACGACAGTGATACCTAAGAGACACCTGCAAAGAAGATGCAAAATCTGGTAAATCTGACTCAACTCAAGTACGAAATATTTTTTTTCCTTGGGAGGACAAGTAACTAAATTTTATGAAATTATAATTGTATCTACTGAATAAGTGACAAGAATCAACACAAGGTGACAAGTAAACGTAACATATATTGTTCCCCGAAGCTTATCAGCAACATGACGTGTTTCAAAACTGTAAATGTGCAGTGAAAAGATAATCTATAGATAACAATTTTCAGTATTGTTATAATTCCATAGCCATCATAATATTTACAATCTATATTTCTTTTTTAACAACAAATTTGTTCAGTATTATTTATCATTTTTTACTCCTTTTTAGTCACCACAACAAATTGCAAAATGTAATCTTCATAAAATTCAGTTACATCACTCTCTTTCAGAGAAATGGGTGTCCAGGAATCATTAAGGACAACTTCTTTGGAACGCAATGCATTGAAATACTGTATGTGCTACACTCACCAGAGTCCAAAAGAGGTAAATGGTAAAGAGTGCAACTGTCAGTGCAATGAGCCCCACAGCCTCCAGTCGGCTGGAGAAGTGTAGATGGTCTATGGCACCTCGAAGGCACAGCCAACCAGAGATAGTAGCCAACGGTGTAATTAGCAGGAAACATACCATATCACCAAACAGTGTGCGCTTTTCCTGACGAAGCCCTGGGTTCTGAAGCCACTGAATGACCAGAGAGATTTCAGATGATATGTGTACATTTGCAATAGGAAATGCAGTACACTCAACCACATGGCCCTTTACCTCCAGCAGTGGTCTGGACTTCCTCTGCACAGTGAACTGGTAGTTGCAGAGCTCACAGAAGCTAGTCCCTGAGGCAGAAAGCCAGTGCTCCAAACAGCTGCGGTGGATGGTGGCCATAGTCCCCAAACATTCACAAGGGGACAGCAGTTCCTCTTGCAGGCCTCCTTCATGGCAAATACGGCACATGGGGTTCTCTGGTACAGCACTGGCACAGGGGAAAACACATTGTCTTCATGATCCTCATTTTTAAGATATCTGATCAGCCTTAAATACAAAGTCAACATTACAATGTCAAATTTTAGGGTTATTGTGAAAGAAAACATTGACATTTCAGATTATTTTACATTATGTTACCATCTTTGCCAAATCAAATTATTGTTTTTTTAATGTTTTTTTTATTATTTTACTATGTGATGTAAACCAAATATTGTTCATTGTTCATCACAACATTTTTATGATTATAAATCAAAATAGCTTATTATTTTAATGCCTATCTGTACTGTAACAAATAGATTAATCCTTACATTTCTAAAGTTAGAATGGGATGTTGTCCCAGAACAAAAACATTTACTTACCACAGCTTTGTACAAGGCTGGTCATCTAATTTGTTCACAGGCTGTGAGAAGTAATGAGATGTCTCACAATTGGATAAACTGCATTCATCCATTGTTTTGCCTGGCAGAGGGGGCTCATTGTTGAAGCTACAGACAGGTGGCGAATCCAACCCACTCTGAGATCTCACATGAGCTGAAAGACACTGATTGGGCAAAACCTCCGGCGGTAATGCACTCCGGCTGGTCATTCTTGTGGTGGAAAATGAAGTTTGGACGCAAGAAAGAAGGCCTAGTGTAGGTCTTGCATCTGCAACCAGACGGGACAGCACGAAGATCCATTATCCAAGTTACTTCCACAGGTAGTTAACAATTTACATCATAGGTTATTTTGCTGTGGTGCGTTTTCATGGATACAAAAGTATGGAATATGAATGTCTATACAAGCAAAAACTTTTCATAATACAGATAAACATGATTGTCAAGTAGACACGTGCTTACAGTGAGGACGAGTTTAACATTTGTGGTTCATTCCAAGGAGTGTCGATCTAACACGATCCTGTGCCTTGGGTGGTCACACAGAGTGCAGCCCTCCAGCTTTGAATTATGTGTGCACATTGACAACATAAAGGGAAGTTTACAGTAGGCCCGCCCGCGATAAGCGAAACCACTACACCTTAGTTGGCTGTTCGAAGTCTTACCTTGTTATGCTCTGTGTTCACCGAAGTACCAGACACAAAGAGTCTCACGAAATATTGACACCGTAAGCTTTGTGCGTTTCCAACTATGCGCTATCCGCGCTATGGCCCATGACAGCTCTACTCTGAATTTCCGCTTTGAGCAGGGACAGTGCAGCTGCAGCTGCCGAGGCGAAGACACCAAAGTACTGCCCTGAATAATGACTGTCAGGCACTCTCTGTTCTTAATATAAAATAAGTTTCAGATGGGCTAAATGATACTGTTTTGTGCCTGTCAGACTCTGTATTGGGAGATATATGATGTTGTTGTTGTTTTTTCCTTTCTTTGCTGTCCTGCTGTCCAGCGGCCCAGCTCTTGTATCGCTCGTAATTGTTTTTCAGGACAAAACAGTAGCCAACAATCAAATACAAACCTACTTGTGTTTTATTTTTATATGCTAAAAAGGAACTCATGCCATAAACAGATAGTGGTTATTTTCTTAGATCTTAAAAATGTATTGGGCCGCTATAGATTACCACATGAACATATACTGAATACATATATTATTAATTCAATATAAATATATTGAATACACAATGTAATATAATTACAAACAATTACACGCATTTTACCTGCATTGTTTTGTTTCAATTAAGGAAAAAAAAAATCTCCAGACCAGTTATTATAGTAAAAGAATATTTAGCAGTTTAATATAGCTCACTGATATTGATGATGTTCAGCTTAGGTTAAGAAGAAGTCTTATATACAGTATATACTTTCTCACCTATAAATTCGGGATCTTATTGTCAAACTTCATTGACCCACAAGAGAAATTACTCGGATCATAACCAAAAGTGGAGGCGGCTTCACTATGAGGGGCCTCTGAACTCACCAGCTTGGGATTCCCCTGGATAAATGTTGCAAGTATCCATGGAGACTGACCCTGTGACCCAGCCCTGGGAAAATGAAAGGAAATAAGTGTAGTCTACATGGATTATGGGATAGATCTGTCATAATAACAAACTAAGAAAATATTTGCGTTAAATGATAATACTGAAACTTCTTAATGCTACTGACAGAACACAATAACCATAACTCAAGATAATAATAATCCCAGTAAACCATTTTCTCGATGCACAACACATTGTTAAACTCCAATGAATAAATAGCACAGTGAAACGCATAGCAATTCACAAGTACCTAAAATGAGTCAGTTATGTAAATTATTCAACTTTCTACCAAAGTAAACCAAATACATAGTCTGAAAGCCAGTTTAACTTGTCCAACTGCTCTTTGTGCAACACAGTAGGCCTCCTTGTATTCATATAGAAGTCTCCAGCCTGTGGAATCTGGATCTGTGGAAGCTGACCCCGCTCAGAGTGAAAAAAAAAACGTCATGTCTCAGATACAAAAACACCTGTAACTGAATATATAGGTTTAATACCACATTGTTGAAAATTCCATCCCCATCACCAGAAAAGTTGTCTAGTGCACCTTTAATCTCAAGTGTCAAATTGCTCCAAAGATACTGTAGTCTACATGGTATTACATAATTAGTATTTTATTTGCTTATAAGGGACAATTTAACTAATATGAGGAATATTAGTTTTAAGGGGACATAGCAATCCTGCTTGAGTTTCCAGAAAGGCCAAGTCTCCAAGCACCATAGACTGCAGAACACACTGAAAGGTGACTGGTGACTTCTTGTGGCCCTGGATTGGCCCCCTTTTCCTTGTATAGGCTCACAACTTTCCATTTCCTCTTCCTTTGTGTAAGCTATATTCAGTAGTCTACTATTCTATGCTTTATTGTAGCATAACAGCTACAATGTCTCCATTATGGTCTTTATCTGCCTCAGTTGGCCTGGCTTGTTGAGCGTAATGGGAGAGGCAGTAGCCTGTTGTACAGGAGGAGCCTGTTATCTGCCGCCATACGCGCACGAGACTTTTTGAAAGGGAAAACCTCCCGATTCAGATACTGCGAACCTCATGACGAATAACAATAGTAAAGCTCCCACTATGCACGCCAGTCAGACAGGAAACGGTTAGCTATTTTTCTATTTAAAGCCCTTAGCAGTAGGAGGGTTAAGGATTGAATAATTAAATAGGCCAAATGACAACTTGACAGTTGTTAAATTACATTACTTGCACGTGTTCTCCTACTGGCCATTTGCACATGTCATGATTATTTATTTATTTATTTGAAGTAGACTATATATCAATAGTAGCCTACTGGCTTTCAATCACAGCCTATATAGGCCTTAATAACTACAGCTAACCACAGCTGTAGTTACCAGTGAAGGTGATTGTAATCCTTTTTAGGCTACTTGGTGGATCTTTATTTTGATCCCAACTCCAACCAAGGCTTACAGGGCTTATTGTTGTGTCTTTATGAAAGACTTGTACTACCTTTCCTCCAGTGTCATTTTTACTTTACTTTAAGAGGTGTGTGAATTGACCAAGTGAATTCTTCTCTGTTACTTTGAGAGGTAGTATAAGAAAGCCCTCTATAAAGGGGCCATTTGGACAATTTCATTCTTTAATCCATATCATGTAACCCCTAGCCCAGTTATTTTAATAGATCCATGCCCCAGCCACTGTCCTTTATGCTTTTATTTTGATGTCGCTGTTGACAGACTTCCGGGTTGAGCGTTTCACTTTGTGGCTCTGGGCGTGTCCAGGGTTTACATCACATTGAGCGCACTGTGTTTATATCACCTAAATTGACATGTAACAGTGAGTAGTGTCCTTCGTGATAGCGGACATGTTTCTGTCTCTGGGCTGGTTTTCCACTGCTGTCGCGGGGATTTTGTCTGTGTATATTTTACAGAAGACATGGTTTCCATACTTTTGGAAGGACTTATTCTTCCTGCTCAAAGTGATGCGCTATGGAGTGAAGCTGGAGCTGTACAAGCTGCGGTCTGAAGTGTGCACGGTGTTGGACAGGTTTATCCAACAGGCGCAGCTCATCCCTGACAAACCCTTTGTCATCTTCGAAGGACAGACTTACTCGTACCGAGACATAGAGCAGCGCAGCAACAGGCTTGCCCATATATTTCTCCAGAACACCAACTTAAGGAAGGGAGACTGTGTCGCTTTACTTATGAACAATGAGCCCGATTTTTTGTGCGTATGGTTTGCTTTGGCGAAAATTGGTTGCTCCATCGCTTTTCTCAATACCAACATCAAGTCCAGATCTCTAATGCACTGCTTTACCAGCTGCGGAGCTAGGACTCTGGTTGTGGGATCAGGTAAATCTTAAATGTGTTATTTTTGTTACACATTTTTCTTATTATTTAAGGTATTGTAAACAAAATGTAGCCTATTTTACTCATAGCCCAGTACCCATCGTTGTAAAAGTAGCCTATCCTATGCTGTGTCAGTGCAGGAGCTATTGCGAGTCACTGAAACAGCGTTTGCCTCTCGTGGCTCCCATTAACGCAGAGTGCCAGTGCTACTGGGTAGTGCATGCACCTTTTTTGCATGTTCCTTCTGTAGGCTACTTTATCAGATATACTATGTTATGCCATTTCCAAATTATTTGTGTTTGGTCTTTAGAGGTTTTTATAGCGTATTTACAGACAGAGTCGATCTCTGTAGTTTTTTCCCAGCTATGTTTGGGAAGATATTTTGACTCTAATAAGATTCACTATGCTGTGGCCATGTGACAGGATACAGCATGATGCTGGTTTGTAACACTGTCCTGAAAAGAACCCCAGCAGCTGGACTTGTGCATGTGAAATGCATGCTCCAATGGACACATAATATTGCTCTATTTTCTAGACTTAGCATGTGTTATTTTCTTTTTTTAATACCAGCATACCTCCATAAAATATTTGTACTGTCCTGAGACATACTAAGTACACATCTAAATGCGTATAATTTTCCTGTGAATAGCGTAATGTCTTTGGTTATCTGGATAAGTATAATTTTGTAAGCACAATATAATTTTAATTTAGCACTTAGCTATTACCAAACCATTTATCTTTATCATCCAGCTGCACATTTTAGTAATTTTTGCTGCAGTTTTATTTTGATTACATAATACTGTGCAAAACAGCTTGTTATTTAACTTTTAAATGTATAACATGACTTCAGCATTTATACTATTTATTACGGCTAAAATAATGATATAGTATAACGTGTATGAATAGCTGCCAAAACCATTGCCACACATGCGTTAACAAATAAAATGGATTTGTCTCTTAAAGTACTCACTAGCTAAAGGTCTTTATTATGATTACTGTGATTGTACCACAGATATGGCAGACCTCTTAGATGGCTTCTTGACCACTCTGCTAGAGGACAACATAGAAGTGTGGGCCATGAAGAAAAGCTTTGAACACCCACGGGTACACACATTACTGGATAAAATTGACACTGCTTCCTACAAACCTGTGCCTGCAGTACCTCGGATTACCAACATCAAAACTCCAACTCTGTACATCTTCACCTCTGGAACAACAGGTGAGTGTACTTCTTCTGTTACACACTTATCTGAACAAATCCCACTTTCCTTAAAGTCAACAACAGTCTCAACAGTTGAAGTAGTTGAAAAAGCAAGTTGATAATTTTAGAAATGAACCCTTTGTCTTTGAGTCTTCACCACCTGGATGGTTGTGTGGCAACAGAGTAAACAACTGTCCCACTGAGTCACAGTTCTCCAGGGTGGGTTTTACCTGATCAAATGTTTGTCTGGAATACATCTGTAACAGGCTTATACAGTGAAGTCTGCAGGGGTGCACCTGCACGCACTGTGTGTACTTTGGATTTCCCGAATGAATCCAAATGGCTGGCTTAGAGGCACGCAACACTGATTACTGACCAAATTGTTCAATATATTACTGAAGGTAAGACTGTAAAACTATTACAGCCTGTCCTTTTTGACACTGGGTATGCACTGGATCTAGACAAGTACAAGTATGCACAAGACAGCGGCATGGCAGGCTTGTTTTAAATGTGCACCTCCCGCTCTCTCTCAAACACTACTCCTGAGGGTGTAACGATGATAACTCTATAAAACAAGTGAGCACAACCAATAACTAGTCTATGTCTCTTGCTCTCTCTTTCTCTCTCTCTCTCTCTCTCTCTGTCTCCTGTCACTCATCTCAGTCAATGCGTGCAGAGCTGTCACGACGAAGGACGTGTACCAATCCCGCATAATTAAATGTTTTTATTCACTGTTCACAGAGTGGGAAATCCTAAACAACATGAGAAGATGACATAAACTTATTCAGTAAGACTGAACTCAGTGTTGACTCTTATACAGCGGGTCACTCTATATAGGTGCAAGGGAACCCTTGCACTTGCACTTTGCTTCTATAGACATCATTGCAGAATAACTACTGATAGACACATGAGCCAGGAGACATGCTTAACTTTGTAGCTGGTAATGTCAATGCCCGGCCATTTGAACATGCAGGATTGACAGGAGCCTGCACCTTTATTATATTATAACAGGGCATAACCTTGTGCACAACAATATAATATCCAACACATCTAGTGGCAGTCATCTCACTCTAACGCTAGCGCTTTGGGGAAACTCAGTGAAACACTGTGGACATCACATGGGAGAGGAGAAGTCAGAGAGAAAAGAGAGATGTGAACCTCCAAAGCCCCATGCATCAGGTGTAAGTGTGCAGACTGAGTGGAAGGTCTGTCATCATCACTTGGCAGGCGCCCCTGACAGTCTGTAGATGCTTTTTATAGATATGTTCACATAAACATCGATGTAATACATTTTAGAAGAACAAAAAAAAAATTCATATAATATTTAGTAAAATGTATTATTATTATTATTATTATTATTATTACTACAATTAATACCACTACTAAATATCAAGCTAAATGTAAAGTAAATCATGAGAATGAGAAAACTCCTCAAATGAAGGGACCATTTTGAGTATTTCTTACCACTGAAACAATATCTATGGAAACTAAACACGATGTCTGTGGTAGGGCTTCCCAAGGCCGCAGTGATCAGCCACCTGCAGAGCCTCAAAGCAGCTGGAGGATTCTGGGCATTTGGAGGGACACAGGATGATATCATCTACATCCCTCTGCCACTCTACCACAGTGCTGCATCACTCATTGGTATTGGAGGAACCATTGAGCTTGGTAAGTAAAGAACAATGTAAGAGCCATTTTCTAATTTATGTGCAATATGCTTCATAGATTTGAGGGAACGCAATAACACACAATTAACTTGCATAAGTCACTGTGAGTACATCTTTCTTCTAACATTGAGATAGGTGTTTGAGTTAGGAAATAATGTGTTGTTTGTATTGTATTGGTCTCTCAGTAGCTTTAGGTCCATAACATAGACAGAGGAACAGTATTGAGTTAATAATGAATGAAGGCTCCCACGGAATATAATGAATGGAAAAGCAGTTTGATTTCCAGAAAACTCCACATGCTTAGACCAGTTACATGCATTTGTCTCACTCTGAAGGCACTTGGGGAAATCGTGACAAACATCATGCTCCTCACTGATCACTGAATAAAGAATGGTCCATCAAAGTTTTTTTTCCACTTGAACTTAGCTTAATTAGATGCGTGGGCAGTCTCTATTATGAAAACTGCCTTTGTTAGGAGTTTACTGCCACCATGCTCATTGAGGCTGGTATTATGTAACTCTATTTCAACAATATTTGCCTCCAAATACCTTCCAAACAGGACAGTGCAATGCCCTTCTGCTATCTGTGTGTGTATGTGTTTAACAGTGGTTTATTACAGGTCAGAGACTTGAGTAGTTAAAAATATTTGCAAGGTTTCAGAATACACTGTGTTCTATCCAATACTGATTTGTCCCCTTGACTGAAACACACAGAACCATACACGATGTACTTTTATATTATGAATATTTTTTTTTAAAAGAAAACATTGTCTCTTTTGAATGATCCAATGTATATTTTGATCAGGTGCAACTTGTATGCTGAAAAAGAAGTTTTCAGCATCGCAGTTTTGGAAAGACTGTCGACAATACAACGTGACAATCTTCCAGTACATTGGAGAACTCTGCCGATATCTCTGCAACCAACCAAAGGTACTTCTCATAGTTACATCCACACCCTGCTTTTTTATACTTAATGAATTTTAAGCTTGACTAAATACGAAGAAATCTGACATCCTGAACCTTGGGCAATCATTGAGGACTCATTCATATATAAAGAGAGGCGCTCTGTGTGTGTGGGGTTGCAATGACGTTGGAGTAAATGTGGACAACCTGCTCTTTTGTGTTGAGGCTGTGTTCAGCCATGAGCATAGACACGTCCACTGTCAGAGTGAGAGCAGGGCCTGTTCTCCATTGAGCTTCACTGAGTTCTCTGTCACAAGTCTCTGCTGTAGCTTTGTGTGGGAGGGTCTGGCCTCAGCCATGATTCTTAAATTAAACATGTGTGCATATAGTGCACATAACGGCATTAGACAAATGAGTTTGTCGTCTGATGTGGAAGGGTCAGATTTTTTTCAAGCATGGCACTTACTACTGTTATGTTAACAGTGGCTCACACATGCTAGTTTATAATATATACATTTGTGTTGTAATACAATATGTTCTAATTTAGATGTAATGTGTGCAGAACAGTAAAAGTATTCAAAGGAATTAGTAACTTTAAGAGAATGAGTATTTGACATTGATATTTGCACATTAGGTTTTACAGCACAGTTGGTCTGTACTGTATATTTTGTATTAAAATTTGGTCCAATTTATATAAAATTATTGGTTTTATGTTATATTGTAATTTTTTTGTTTTTATTTGATGGCAAGACAGAAAACAGAACATGCAGCAGGCACAAAACCATACATGTTGGATCTAAACTGGTTCTAAACCAGGGCTAAATCTGGAACTAAACATGGACTAGATCAAGTCTACATCAAGGTTCAAATTAGGCTTAAACCAGGACCAAAAAAGTAAAAAGTTGTAAAATATAAATGAACACATTACCAAGTGCAAAGTAGAGTTTGCATCATTTGATCAAAATATCTATGCTGAAGAAAACTGAAAGATTTTGGAATAGTAAATCCATCATAATAATATATGTTGAAATCAAACAAGACATTTATGCATCTCACAGTGTGTATATCTGTATGCAGTCTATATTCTTCTCCCACATGTGTGAAATCGTTTGTTGTTAGATTTTTGATGCTCAGAAATTGTATTTTTTGCTGTCATGTTTAAGTTACCATATTTAAAGTGAAAGTGTTTGGGACAATGTATATAAAATCTTTAGCAGGTGAGAACTGTGGACCTGTAGTATTGAAAATACAAGCTGAATTCAGTGATCATGTATGTTTGTGAATGTGTTCTGAGAAAGAGGCTGAGAACTGTGTGAACTGATGACAAATGTTACAGATCATTTGACCCACCTGTGTCCCTGTTCAGATACATGTTTGAATTACATGATCAAACTAAACCAGGTTTCAGAAAATTACTAAAACAAACAAAAAAAACAACAACACTGTAATAGTAACATTTATAACCAGGTATAGGGGTACAATATTTGTGTTCATCTAGCTCATAATGTCACCTTTATGACATCTTATCTTCTTTTGATCAGACAGAGCTGGATAAAGTCCACAGAGTGCGAATGGGAGTGGGTAATGGACTCCGGCAAGATGTGTGGAGGGAATTCCAGAACCGCTTTGGAAACATCAAAATGTGTGAGGTATATGGCTCGACAGAGGGAAACCTCTGCTTCATGAACCACCTCGGCAAGATAGGAACTGTGGGACGCTCCAGTTTCATCTACAAGGTGAGAACCCATCTTCCAAAAATACAAAAAAAAGTAAAACTTTAATCTGCTGGCCAGAGTTTGTTTTATTGTTTTATTATGAATGCCTTGGTTACATGCTTAAATGTAATGCAGTAAGTGACAAATTAATAAAGGAAAGTGAAATTAAGAGATAGTGCTATAATGTGTCTAAATTTAAATTTCTTTTTTATGTATTATACCCTAGCTAAAACCCATTACTAGCCATATCACTTGCCTCCTTATGCCTTGCTCACTGTGTGGTAGTATGTTATGGTGACAGTAAGAAGGTAGTTTTAAGGAATAGACCACTTATATCTCAGTGTTTCCATACTTGTGCCAGCATTTCAGCATAATTTTCCTGCCTAGATCCCAGCAGCTGCACAGACTTCAGAAGGCTATCAAAAGCTCTTGCATTTACATTGGGTTGGAGAAGCTATAAGTAGTTTACATTCACCCCATGACAGTGTTATATATGTGAAATTAGACAGAGGAATTTATATTCAGTTTCACACTGAAGTAACCGGGGTGGATGTGACATTTTCCCCAAATGCAGCAGAATAAATTTCAAACAGTGATCTGTGCTGGTTGCATTAGCATTTATAGGTAAATTATAGGGCAAATGTATCCCTGTATGTAATTTGTGATAAAAATGTATGTAATTTGATATTTCAAGTTTGGGGTCATTGTGTGGACATGAATTGACTGACACTTGGTTAAGTGGGATAATGTGGCGTGGCTTTTGCAACATATTATCCTCCTTAATCCCTGTCTGTAGACCCAGTGTTAATCAGCTCCTGAGTTAGTGTGGCCACATGTCTTTACTCTAATCTATCACCCCTGCTATTCCTAGACACATAGTTACAGGTCTACCATTACAAAACAATGTTATAAAACTTAAGTTAATTATTGTGTAATGTGTCATGACTTAAAGGTGCACTGTGTTTAGTGGTTTAGTGCAGTCTGCCTTTGGGGAAAGTTCAACTTTACACATATGCATTTGGATTTTACAGTATTTTATCTAGGGTGACCAAATGTCCTTTTTTCCCCGGACATGTCAGTTTTTTGCATCCTGTCCTGGGCGTCCGTTTCTTTTTTTAAAAATTTAAAGTGATGGAAATGTCCGGGCTTTTATTATCTTTCACTGGGCCATTAAATTGAGCAGCTCTCGTAGCTCTCTGTGCACTCAGAAGGAGAGAGCAGACACAAACAGTCGGTCAGTCTACAACATGCCGAAGCACAAATGCGCATTTATCAATGACTTGTACAAGAAATTCTCTGTCCATGTCGAGACAAGTGGGAGGCCATGTGCACAGGTTGTGAGGTGAGAGTAGCTCAGTGTCGAGGCCCCACCCCCGGGAAAGTGTCCAGGCTTTCAAAAACAGAAATATGGTCACCCTAATTTTATCCAAATACTTATGAGGAATAAACTTGAGAGATTATATTAGCAAATACATCACATTAAGTACAGAACTTGCTATATGTAATGTATGTATTCTTGAAAATTGAACAAGCTATTTACACCAACAGCACATAGGGTATATGTCTTATATGTCCTCACAGATATTTGTTTTTTGCTGTCATGCTTGATTTTCTATATTGATAGTAACAGAGTTTAGGACAATTTTACCATGTGAGAACAAATTAGTAAAAAAACAAGCTGAATTCACTAATATTGTATGTTTCTGAATGAGATCTGTGTTTTGGGAAAGAGCTTGAGAACTGTGTGAACTGATGAGGCATGTTACAAATGATTTAACCACCTAAACCCGTATTTAGAAAAAAACAACAACTTTGAAGCAAATGATCAAACTAGACCAAGTTTTAAAAAAATATGCTTGAACGATGTGCAACTGTAATATACACAACTGTAATATGCACAGAGACTTATAAACTAATTTAGCAATAACAATTACTTGGTTCTGTGTTTTCTTTTCTTGTGCATTTTTACAGCTTCTTTTCAAATATGATCTGGTGAAGTATGATATGGTCCGAGATGAGCCAGAGAAAGATGAACATGGTTTCTGCAAACGTGTGAAACATGGTGAGAACACACAGTACACTCTGGACACTTTGTTCAAATATTTATTTTATTTCATGTGTTTCAGGTGAAACTGGGTTATTGTTGTCAAAGGTCAGTGCTATGAGCCCTTTCTTTGGATACGCTGGCAGCGCACAGCTCACGGAGAAGAAAGTCATGAGGAATGTATTTGTCAAAGGAGATGCCTATGTTAACACTGGAGACTTGATGGCTGAGGATCAGGAGGGCTTCATATGCTTCAGAGACAGAGTCGGAGACACATTTAGGTACCAGGTCAAGCTGACAATATACCCAGAGAAACTGAGACATACATTTTACATCTTTCCCTTTGTTTGGTTATCTGGAAAGGAGACGTTTTCAATCATATTAATAGGAGTGCTCCCCCTTGTGGTCAGTGAAAATTTGACACGCATCACCAAACTTCTTTGAGAGGGACAGCCTTTTCACTATCAGTATATGTTTTGCTGGAGCTCAGTCTGTTTCATATATTGTGGTATACATCAAATAATAACCTTTAATGTTAAATTGCGTAGGTGGAAAGGTGAGAATGTTGCTACAACAGAAGTGACAGAAATTCTTGGTCTTGTGGATTTTATTCAGGAGGTTAATGTGTATGGAGTGGAAGTACCAGGTAAGTCACTATTTTTACCCCTTCACTAACAGCCACACAACATAATTACAGTTTTTCATTTTCTTGTTTCTAGGGCATGAAGGGAGAGCAGGAATGGCTGCTGTGATTGTGAGGCCAGATCACACTTTTGATGGAGAGAAATTGTTTGAATGTGTGGTTCGGGATCTTCCAGGGTATGCTCGACCATTGTTCATCAGACTGCAAGTAAGAAGCAAAAGCTCTAATATTGTTAACTTTTAAAATTAGATTATATATTATGTTAAACTAGGACATACTAATCCTCCAGAGGAGAGTACACTGTCCCTAAATGTAAAATCACACTGACCAGTTCCTCTTTTTCCTCAGTTGCTGTGAGTCATTATGGATGAGTGTGATTTGAGTAATTAGTAGAATGTAGAATGTGTGTGTGTGCAAATGTTGGGCCTTGATACACGGTGGAAGGGGTGTATGTGGTTGTGTGTCTGTTGTATGTTTTTTTTATGGATAGTATTTAAACACCCTAAGTGTAAAGTGCTTGAACCCAAAGTAATATCTGTTTTAATTTGTTTTTGGTCAGTTTATCTATACACACTGAATCTTTATTTTAATATTTCCACCAACCTGCTCAGGGACTACAAGTGTAAATTAGCATCCATGCTATAACCTGATAGCAGCAGCATCTTTCCTATGACTTCTGTCTTGGTTAATGTATTGTTGTGCACTGTCCCTGTACAAATAAAAAGCATATCATACCATACCACACTAGACTAAGAGCCCACAGTTTAAAAGGGATAGTATGTTTTGACTTGGTTTATGGTTTTGATTCTATATTTAAAATAAGGGTCTGATAATTTAACCCTTTTGTCTGTAATGAATAGGCCTGTCACGATAAATACATGTTAGGTGGAGCAATAATTTTTGGGTACTTTTTCTTTGTTCTAGTGGAACATTTTGGGTTATTTTTCTGTACTACTAAGAGATGTGAGCTGTAGAACGTTAAATTATGAACTGATTCATTATAGATACAGACTACTAAACTGTTTCAGCTCATATTTTTAACAATATTGTACATGTAGAATAATTTGGGGGGGATAATTCTGCTTTATGGTTTGGTTTAAATATTATTGTTTATCATCTATACTGTATTGACATCATCAATGTATCTTCAAAATTTGTTATCATTTGAGTCATAGTCATGGGCCATGCTAATGCTGTTTTGCTGATTTGGTCACAGTTGGAGATGGAGATGACCAGCACATTCAAGCAGCAGAAGTTCCACCTGGTTCAGAGTGGTTTCGACCCATCTACTATCCCTGAGCCTCTGTATGTTATCGACTACAAGCTGGAAAGCTACATTCCTCTCACAAAGACTGTTTACCAGAGCATTCTCACAGGGGAGAGGAAGCTATAGGCCTCACTGTGAACTCAGGCTACGCATGAAGGAGGTTGCCTTTTAGCTCTTCAGTGCAGTATTTCGAATTTTATGCCGGAAGTCTATAAACAGTACATTTTTGATGGCTAGATTCAATGTTTATGAAGAAGGTATATCAATGAGAATGTCTATTATGTCTCTAAAAAGTTCAAATCTATGCAAAATACAACACTTTTATAAAAAAAAAACAAAAAAAAAAATCAATACTTTAAAAAAAATTAAAATGTAAACAAAACACATCTGACAACATTATCTTAAAACTGCTACAGTGAGGTAGGATAATGCTTATGATGTCTTGATTTCCTCTGTGGATCTATTTGTATTACAATGCAAATGAAAATATGATGTACAAAATTTTAATCATAGTCTTTGTTATGAATATATTCAGCAAGTAAACAGAGGAATTGTGGATCCAAGTAAATCAAGCAAAAACAATGCACTAAATACAGTCTACCATATTTTTTCCTATAAATAATAAGGAAGATTTTTCATAATGAATTTATTGTGAATTAATATAAAGTGAAGCAAAAGGTAACACTGTGTTGTATATGATGTGTAACTCTGGTCAATGCTGTGAACTTTATATTCCATTTGTCAGTGAAGGTTCATAATGACTTAGTGCTGCTATTGTTTACAGACACTTGAGAACATAGCCCAAGTTACACCACTGTGTTCAGAGCGATTAATGTGTCACTGATATAGGATCACACTGAGTTTGATGGGAACACTCACAAATGAGTAACATACATTAGTCAAAGCATCTCTCACAGTGCTTCCTACTTTTCCTAAAACACCTGACTAAAATTACTCTTCATTCAAATGGAGTCTATGTTTGAACCCTATGTTTGAACCCTATGTTTGAACCCTTTGGAGTACAAACAAAAGGTTGGGCTTTTTGTGAAGCTGAGTCTCTGTAGTTTTGGCCTTTGACTTCTGGTTATAAGTAAGAACAAACTATGCACAAAACAAAACAAAAGATTTCTTGGCACTTTCTAAAGCTTGGCTCTTTCAAAGCTGAAGCACATCTCATTAGAAATGAGATCTAGGGACTTATAATTAGGTAAAAATAAATAATATATGATATATGATGAATGTATTATTATTATTATTATTATTATTGATAATAATAATCATCATAATCATATAAAAGTCAATTTTGGTGAATTTTAGGATTATTTTTTAATTGTGAGTTTGGAGTACACACTGGTTCTGATTTGACTGAAAATAAGTAGATTACTGCTTGCCATTTATGTTTTAGATGTCCATGAGCTTATTAGTTCCCTTTTATCAGATAGAGGTAAAAAATAATTAAGAAAAAGTGCTGGGCCCCTCTGACTCTTAAGAGGTTTTAAGTGCAAGATATACTGTTAATTTCTGTGTTGTGGAATTGTTTTTTCATTTCTCAGTGTCTTTTAAAAATGTAACTGTTAATGTTGCTGTTGAGTTTAATAAAAACAGCCTTGCAGTTGTCAGGTTGCTTTTTTATAACCCATATGAGGATTTGAAGCATTTAAAACTCGTGTATTTATTTAGTCGTGTACTGTTAACAAGAGAGACAACTGGACAGATGCCTCTCCCCAAAATTTTGTTGTGTTTGCTTTTTACTTTTGAAATTGTTTTTACTCCAGTTGAGATGAGGAGGGGTAAGTGTCTTGCCAAGAACACAAAAAGAGCAGCTGAGATTGAACCACTCCCGACCTGGGCCAATAGATGAACACTCCAACTGCATTTTTTGACTGGATACCAACAATGTACAATGGCAAATAAATGAAATTCATTAAATATTATACAGCGAGAATAGCATAAAAAAGCCTACATTTGCGTTATAGAACCCATGGAAACTATTAATCCACAATGTTCATTTAAGTAGCTTTTGTGTTAATTAGGCCTGTTTTACTATCCCCCAGAGGAGATGGATGAAAATCCCAGTTGGACCTTCCTTTGATACAATCATTTGAGACGTAAGTCTCTTTCAAAGGACACACCTCAAGCTCGGGAACGAATAAAATTAGATGCCTTCTTTAAAATTTGATAACTTCAGTGATTTCTCTTATAGCTTGTAGGGTTTTTAAAAACGTTTCTTTTGTTAAATAAATAAATAAATAATTCAAACCACAAGAGGGCGCAACAAGATTTAGATTGTAAGTTGTCATGTAAGCTCCTCCCATAAGGAGGAAGTGTAATTGTACATCCGTATGTGAATAAGTTTACTCTAAACAGAATTGCTTTATTAAATATTTTAATATAAAAACAATTGTTCATGAAGCTATAGGCCTAGAAAATAATGCTTTTGGTGTTCTGGACTTGGCTAAATTCATGGTATAAAATAATATGTTGTAAACGAAAATGTGTGAATCTGTCCCACAGTGCCTGACATATGACCTTTTGTTTTACTGTCAGTATTTTTTTGTATCAGTCTTTTCTTTCACCTTCAGAAACACGCCCTAGCTGTGCCATTTTTACAGCATCAATATTGACATCCATAATGTTTAGTGTGTTTGATGGTTGATCCTTTGCACCAGCACCAGTGTAAATGAGGGCTCCGCTCTCATGTGTGTCACCTCACAACAAGTCAAAAGAGTCTGTGGGCATCCAAAACTTTCCACTGACGGAGGGACCCTGCCCGCTTTCATCACTGCTATGCCATCACTAACACCAAATGTCTTTTTCTTTGTCACATGCTTTGCACTTTTGAGTTATTAGTAATCAGCGGTATGGCACTTTGGTGTCTAGGAAACAAACTGCCATCTTTGTTACTGATGGTTCTTGACCACACACTTTGGTAATGCTGCTTTTGCCATGAGACACATATATCTGCTATCTATACTAGTGACTAGTTGTCATTGTGGAAATGTGAGCTTTCTAGCTCTGACAGCTCTGGGATTTCTTGTGAGGTGATACTTGAGACTTTTTAGTGGCTTGAAGCTTCTCTCCTCAAAATAGCAGCTACTGGAGCCACAAAGAGCACTTTCTCTTGGTGGGCTCACCAGGTCCTGATGAACAACGGTTTTGCTACTCTGTAATAAGCCCTGTGTACTGCAAATAACATTAAGATGTCGCCATCAATAGATTTCAGTGAGCGTGTGAAAACAACTAATCAGTTGTTTGCTATGTCAACTGAATTTCTCTGTTTGGCAGTATATACTGTACAAAATGGGTCAGAATCTGTTAATTAATCTTCAGTGATTCCCCTGCTGCAGTGACTGTTCCTCTAGTAAATGTATGCACTTCTATCAGAGCTGCACCAGTCATTTTGTTGAAGACTAGGTTAAAGTTACGCACTGTCAAAGTCATACAGCCTCTCTGACTGAAATACCACATTTGTAGACATAATAAACTCCTCTGATGGTAAATAAATGCTTGAGTACCAGCACAAATCTAAGTTGAGGCAATACTGTGTTTGTACTCAACACCTTGTCATTGTACAAAATGATACAAACAAGTCCATGGTATAGTTTCCCATATCTATCCTTATATTTTCATTAGTTATTAATATTAATAAAATAATTTGTCTTTATCAGGTTATGCAAATCTTGTTTGTACCACTATGCCAGTAGTGTTCTGTGCTAACTTAATGAAACCATTCACTGTAATGTTGATGAGTAAGTGACAGTCATGGGTGGCAGCAGGTCACACTGTGTGCAACCTCTGGTTCCAGCCCGGGTTATTTCTGCTATCATCAGTCTTCTCAGCTTCCACTGGAGACACTTGGTCTAACATAATGGTTTCATTATGTTATTATGTTGCAGATGGAAATAAACATTTAATTCAAGGCAAGTTAGTAACAACAGGTTCGTAGATAGACTTCCAGACTTGTAGCACGATAGGTTTTTGGTTTGTTTTTGTTCAAATTTAGTTCCTGGAGTCAGTTGCTGTTTGTCCAGATAAGCATTGGTGTGACATGTATGCAGCAACAGACATACTTTTGACACATTATCTGTCACCTTCGAGTCGTGCCTCACTTTTTACATGACCATGTCATTGGTTACACACTCTTACACATGTGTCAATATATGTGAGTAATATTAGAACAGGTCATAGTTATGTTATTTAATGATAAATCAGTTCCTTCTCATTGCACAGTTGAATGTAAATATGACATGGTAATAGCATCATTTAGCATTAATTGGGCTTAGAACTGTAAATATATCAAGTCCCTTACAGATAACAAAAATTTATAAAAAGTATTTAGTGAAACTAGAAGAGCAGGTTTATGGTTTAACCAATAAAGCTTTACATTATTACTGAGTTAATCTTGCAACAATTTTATATATTTTAAACATAATGTCCGTTGTTGAGTTATTTAATTGTTACATTATGATTAGGACTGGTGTGCTGTTTCATGTGGGTCACTTTTTTAAAATAATTTGAATCCCTGCCTCCTTGTTGTACAGTGACAGGAAATTCACATTGGTGTAATTAAAAGTGATTGATCTAACATAGAGACCCGGGGTCTTCTTCACTTGACTGTGATAAGAGGAGAAGGCCTATTGGACATAATGACCTCAAAACGTGATTCTTCTCTTAAGGGTAACAAATGTGCATTGTCTGGGTACTATGGATGTGGACAGTTATTCCTTTGTTTACAGTTCACTCGGGTCATGCAGATCTTCTCAACTCATTAGGGTCAGGTGAGTTCCCTGTAGAGCCATAGATTATCTGATTCCTCTTGTCTCTCTCTTTCACTCAAATAAATCTTCACAAAATTACCTTTGTCCTATAAATTTGGTAATGCCTCCACTGCTAAAATGATAATTGATACTTTATAGTGACATCATGCTGGTGGTGTTCTACATGTATGTGTATAGGTTGAATGTTGATCAGTTACCATGGTCAGCATTGGGTTAGGGTTTTAAGATCATCTGAAAACTCAGGAAAAAAATATATAATGCATTATACAACACATTTTGAGGAGCCTGATTAGGCCAAGCATTCATGATCCCGTTTAGGTGTTCGATTTTGAACAAAAAAGGTGAGCGTCACTAACTGAAAAACTGTTTGCTAATGCTAGTTGGCATGTAACTATAATGTTATGTGAGAGGAATTTGTTTAAGAGCACAAACCAGCTCACCCGCTCTAAATCAGATTTTTATGTGCTAAGCTAAACTAAAAATCTAATTAAAGTCTAACTTGAGAGTTAGCCTCACATCCCCAAGGTAATGTTGAAGACATCAGCAAGAGAGTATCACTTATTTACACCTAGAGTATTTATACTGTTTGCTCTGTATCTCTTTTTGAACGTCAGTGTTTTTTCTAACAATGAAAAGTTTCCCTTTGGCATCAAATCAATTCCCATGTGCATTATTGACCACATTGTGTAGATCAATGCCCGGTATGTGAGATGATTCAGAGAGCAAGGTTTATCATGGGTTTTGCCTCTGACCATTCGATTGAATAAGGGATTTTAGTGACTTGGTTATGTGGTGAAATTATATTTGATATTTAATCTGTGCACCCTGCAGTAGGAGAGAGGGAGTTAACTGCAGTAATGATCGCCTGCTGCACCGAGCATAGCATTAACTGGATTAGCGCTCTTGCAGCTAATGAGGAGGACCAACTGTCTGGGGGGTCTGACCTTCTACACTGCTGACAACAGATACGGCCGGGCCTGTCACAATGTGATTATCAGCACGGCACCTCACTGTACAGCTACAACCAGGAAGACCGCAACTCCTGACCCTGGCTCAAGGTGCAGTAACTCCACTGACAGGGATCTGTGGCTCTTCTGAGTGGGTGGAGTCACTGAAATCATGAATGCATTAGTAAAGTATAATTAAAGTGGTCAGATTTAAGTAAGCACTGCATATATGATTTACAGTACATTTTCAAAACAAAGCAAATAATGTAATCAATCAGTAATATACTAAAGTACATAATGTGCACTTCTTTGGCACTGCTTTGAGTCTAGTTTTATTCTGTTCTTTTTGTTTGGTCTGGTCCAGTACAGTGTTACTCGCACCCTAAATATCATCTGGACCGGTTTAAATTGATTGCACATAAATATATTGGTTCTTTACAATCCATCCAAACATGCACCAATGAGCTTTTGTGTTTCTTTCTGATTATGTTAAAATGATAGACTTCTTCTCAGATGAAACATTCAGGTCTTGAGTTTCATTTGAAGTGGCCCTAAAGAATCTTGACAGGTGAGGGATAAACATTATGCGTGAAGATCTACAGCTCTGACCCTCCTCCCTGCAACAACAAAAGAGCTGCCTAACCAAACAAAAGAAGTTTGTCGACACACAAACACACAATTATTTAGATACTAAATTGTTGTGAGGCACTACCAACTTACACCTTCTGAATGTATGTAACTTTTCCATTTTTATTGCTTGACTGTCAAATGTATATTATTGGTTAGGGAAAAAATATAATTACACTAAACTTTTATGTTCAGTTCTGTCAAACCAAAAGAAGCATTGACAAAATGATATAGTGTAACAGCTTAAAAAATGTAAGGGGAAACATGATACTATGTGGACTAGTGCAAGTTGAAAGGACAAACATTTTTTCAGAATTAACCTTTTGGAGAAAATGTACACCTAAATCTATACACTAAACCCTGTATGTATAACAGCAAAATGATCTGAATACTGTATTTCCACTGTTCTGCTCTGTGCTCTCTTTGTAGCAGCTGTCACCATTATTATATATGACATCATCAGATATTTACACAACAGCTGAGAGTCACAAATACATAAGAACACTTTGGAGCACATGTTGTTTAGAGGGCAAAAGCTTCTATCCCAAGACAAAAGCAGTTGTTAGTGCTAAAAGCTCACTTCAGCATGCATTACATCTAATTTGTTATTGAAAACAATAAGGGATCTTCTTTCACCAGCATTATTGTGTCAGGTTGTGAAGGTGACTCTAATTAAAATAAATTGTCTCTTATATGGATAATGCCACTTTCTTTGGTATCATGTTCCAACAGATGTGTATGCATTTTGGTTAATTTGCTCCATTAATGTAGTCGAACTGACTGAACCGTTGGCTTTAAGTGGAGCTGATGTAGTCTTAATCTACACTATGCAAAGGTCAATAGAGAGATCAATAGGTCAACATGGCAGCAAATCAGGCAATTTATAATGGATTTTATATGCTTAACAATGTCTGCATTGCTGAAAGTATGACCACATAGGCGTCATTAAGTTTTGCTGCTGATTTTATTTCTGTTTGCATGGTTTTTGTTTTTGCATCTGAAATTGTACTTCAAATACAGGTAGAAGAATGACTAGCTTAACAATGATACATAATACTTTTACATTATGTGAATATGTGCTACCCACGAAAAGCCCATTTCTAAAACAGGGTTCTGCTTAGCTAAGAAGGATTTGGCTAACCCTGCCCGTTCCTGCTTTTTACCATGTCATGTCTCCCCTACAGTCTTTATGGGAGCTCTAATGTGCATTTGGGATCTGTTATTCAAGTTTGTAGGCTATACTAACATGCTGCCAATGTTGCTTGCGAAAAACATGACATGTTTCACAATTATTAGGTGATAAACAGAGAATATAGGTGCACAGGTTCAACATAAAGTGTGATGTCAGTATTTGAAAAATTACAACACGTGCAGCATCACACAGATCGTGCACGCGCTGGTAGTAGACTCCTACAGCTCGCTCGTGGAGTTTCGCTCCCTCCCACAAACCCCTTCCCTTTATGGAAACTGATAACGTCACGCCCAATGTTTAGGGATTGTGATGTCTTCTCGCGACACTTCAACCCTTTGTATAAAGGGACGGGATCGTTGGCATCTCGCGATACTCCCCTCAGTGGGCGCCCACCCTACAGTGATGCCGACTGCAGTGTGTATAATAGCGGCGAGGGCAGTTCGGGGAGTCTAGGAGGAGCTGCCGCAAGGTCGACAACAGCATCCCGCCCTGATCTACACCAGAGCACAGCCGACAGCGGTCCAGCAGACAGCGGTCCAGCAGAGCGCAACCACCAGCTGTTAGCGGGGACTTTAGGACCGACTCCCGCGTTAAGCGGAAACAAAGACGAGAGTGATCGAAACTTTCCTGCCTCTACAGCCTCATGCTCCGTGGCAGCTAGCGTGCCATAGTTGCCGCTCTTTTATGTTCAAGCACAGCACCGTCTTGACTGGAAATAGGAAGCTGGTTGGTGCGACGTTTAGATCTTCCTCCTCTAGATAGCCGCCATAACGCCTTTATTATACGGTTTTTACGCGCACTCGGTGTGCCATGTCAGCACCATCCTCCACGCCTCCCTCCACGACTGAGGGGGATTTACTAGCCCCTGATGCGGGGCCGAAGCCCGCTGGTCCAACACCCAGCCAGAGCCGATTTCAAGTGGATCTTGTGGCAGAGGCAGCTGGAGCAACAGAGGAAAAATCTCCGAGCTCAGATACTAGTACCGTCCCATCCAGCGATAAGGCCAGTGCTGGGGGTCTCGCCGAAACTGATTCGGGGCCCGTGGGAGAGGAAGCCAAAGGCCGCTTTCGGGTGGTAAACTTCGCGGACCCGAGTGGGGCCAGCGGGGCGGCCTCTCCCGAGGGTGATGGGGTCCAAAATGGGGACACGGTGATGAGCGAGACAAGCCTGCACTCATCCACCGGTGGACAGCATCACTACCACTACGACACCCACACTAACACCTATTACCTGAGGACTTTCGGCCACAACACTATCGACGCAGTTCCAAACATCGACTTCTACCGACAGACGGCAGCGCCCCTCGGGGAGAAGCTGATCCGACCCACCCTATCCGAGCTACATGACGAGCTGGACAAGGTAAGCCCCATAAATGGAAGTGAGGACTGCGTGAGTGTTTGGTAAGGGCGTTAAACAGACGCACGTGGAGCAGTGAAGGTTAGAGCCGTTTAAAGCCGCGGTGTGACATCCAGCCTCAGTCCATGCTGCAGCCTCTAGTCTGGTCCCGGGAATGTGCCGAAACACACGTGAACACAAGGAACAACCTAAGCGCACAGCTCCTCTCCAGTGACTTCATAAAACCTTTGCTGAATAAATGTTGCTGCTGGCCTTTCTACGGAGCTTTACTTTTGATGTCGAGTAGTAGCATTTTCTTTTGCAAAAGTACGTGCTTAGCAAAATATCAAACACAGTGATAAAACTGTTTACCAAGTCATAATACCATTTGATTAAGAGCATGTGGCATGTTCATGCTTTTGTATTCTCCCTTAACAAGTCAAGTCAACAAACCTGCTAGTGAGCTACCGCTTCAGTTACAGTGCTTGGGTCCTGCTGTCAACTCTTAAGTGAAACTCGGTTACGTGACGGTAGCATGTGCAAATGTAATGTCAAGGATAAACTCAGAGTGCCTGTGATGGACAGTTTAAGTTGATAGCAAATTTCTAAAATATGGATTTTAATCTGTAGTGCTGCTTGATATTACATTTAAAGTCCTTGACCCCATTACTTCATCCTCATTATAAAAACACATGCTTTTAGGTTGCACATGTCATGACAACACATAGAAACAGGTCAAGGTTTTGGTGGACACACTTGTTAACCAAACTGGCAAGCTTCTCTAGTTCACACTTTCTAAATGATGCTGTTCACAAATAGGTTGACGTATTCTTATCAGTAGAGGCATGCAAGATGTTTAGTCATAGGGTATTTAAGATACATAACAGGTTTCGATGGTTAAGTTATTCTCTTGACCCCAAGGCATTTTCAGGTCTCGGCAGGCTTTTCAACCGTACCCAGATATTGTACATTTAAAATAGTCCTGTTTTGCTTCTTAAATAGTTACCACATGCATTCATTAGAGAAATGATGAGTAAAGCATGTTCTTTTCAGATTCACTTTATGCTCTTAGTGCCTCAATGTGAAGCAATTGCCTCCAAGCAATACCTTCCATGCTGTGCATTTAGTCAGTCAATATATGTGCAGGAAATACAGTTACAAACAATAATGCATGTTTGTTGGTGCAACAGTAAAATGTCAGCCACACACTTAACTGTGCTGTTCCTAAGGTTGTTTGTTTTGGATGTACACACTTTCCTAACAAACCGTAAGTGAGCTTGCAGTCCAAGCTCACTGGTGAGAAAAAGATGATACTGAAATTGTGTTGACTTGTTAGGTCCACTGCTTGTTTGTTTTGTATGGACACCCAGGCTGGATAGGGGGAAGAGGATGCTATGGCTGGTGCTAGGCCTGTCACAATAACACATTTTGAAGTATGATATATTGCTGAAGAATATATAACCGATAAAAGATAAAACAAAATTATAGCACTGACAAAATAACCCTAAAGTAGAATTATCACAGAAAACTATTCTGAAATGTAAAATATGGTTTAAAACACAAACTGAAATAAACAAAAGGCATAATGAAACACTAGTATTTATTCTGTATCTATAATGAATCATAGAAAATCAGCCCTATGCAGCTCAAATCCTATTGTAACATAGAAAAATAACAAAAGATGAATTATTGTTCCATCTAACATATATCGGACATTAGTCAGTGTAGTAATTATCATGACAAGCCTAGTTGGAACTGCTGTAGTTAGAGGGCAACAGTGAAAAATATTCATCGCTTGAGTTTGTTAATCTGAGATGGATCTGAGAAGCTGTTCCACATCCTGCTGTCAAGTACTTTGTGATGAAAGGCTGTTCTGGTTATGTAACAGTGGCCCTCCTCTGTGGTCTAGAGTCCAGCAGGTTCAAATGCCCTAGGTCTGTACAATATTAGGAGATGTACGCATTTCTCTTCACCCCAATATTACTGCTGCAGAGTGACAAGATGAGCTGATTAGTGACAATGACTTTTAATTGGCTCCTGCTGGCTCTCATCCACATCTCATCCACAGAGGCAGTATTGTTTGGCTCAGTATTTCTAAAATGGAGTTTGGACTTTAAATTTCACTAGAGTTTATCCTACCTTGAAGGTCATGGTGACCTGACTGTAGAGGGCGGACACTGAAGAGGATTTAAAGCACTGAATGGAAATTCCACTGTACTAATTGATTTGTTCAAAGCAATCAATGAGTCATTCAGTGCAATGTTGGGGCAGTTCAACTTACAGAGAGAAAGTGGGTGCCAGTAAAGATGAGGACACCCTGTGGATGAACACAATAGACAGTGTTTGATGAGAGGTAACCGACAGAGACACTCTGGAATGTCTTATTGTCTTATTGTATGGGGCCATACAGACAAGCAACACAGACTGCTGTAGGTTCAAACGGCCAGAAGGGGAGTAGTGACATGGCAGTTTATTCATTGCAGAGTAACCAAGCAGAATGGTGCAGCGCTTTAGTATTGATGCCACCCACAGTGTTACTCCAGCATCCAGCAATGAGTAAAAAGTTCAGATCAAATAGACCACTGTCACACCCCAGCTGATCTAATCATATGTAATGTTTGTGTGGTGATACTGGCGCTTCAGTGTCTGTTTAGTAAGTGAGCGTCTCTGAGTGAAGTGGGTTTGTAATGCTGTAAACCCCCTCCCTGCCACCTGTTGCCATGAATACTAGGAGTTATGTGCAGATTTGGTGGGAGTTGTTACAATGTGATTAACTTTGAGCTTAATCTGATGTTAAAGCTTCTTCTCCTTCTATTACAATGTCTCAATATATGAAAGCTGGAATAATATACTTTGGGCTCAGTATCTAATTTGTTTGTAAAACTTTAGCAATTTTCTGCCATTTTTGAGCTGTAGAGGATTGAATAAGTATCTTCTCTGGCTAATTATTGGTTCATTCTGCCATTTATTTGTTACAGTCCTTTTAATGATACTGTCTATTTAAAAATAGGTTTACTGGGGTTGTCCTGTTTTATTGTTATTGTGTCAGCGGCATAAAGTAGTTTCAGTATCATCTTTGCACCAATAAATTGTGCTTCAGAATGTGTTATTGTGACAGGTTTACTTATAGGCTATTGCCAAAGAATGCCCATAATAACTGTATCAGTTGTATAGTCCTTTTTGAGATTCCTTTGGTCCAAATTGAGTTTGGTTAATTTAAACACGCATTAAATTGATTAATGATCACTCAAAATAGCTCTCTACTACAAAGCTGAACCAGATAGAGTAGTCCATTGATCCAACTTTGTAGCACCGTAGTACCGCTAAACCAGGGTTAACTCTGAAGTTACCTTGCTAACTCTTCATAGTACAGCCCTTGGGGGTCATAGAAAGTGTTGCGTCATTTCACCAGAAAACTCTTATATCCCATTTGGTCTAATTTACAGTTAACATCTTAATACTTCTTATAAACAGGCAAAATTGACTCACAACTAGGCAGCATGTACTGGCAAAACATTTTACTTGCGTCTGGGAGCTGTTTCGAGGTGAGCTGTACAATGCCACCTCTGTGAGAGGTTTTTTTTTTCTTGTACAGATTGCTCCCTCCCCCAGAGTTTCCACACTGCTCCTCTCACATCTTTGTCTGCTACCCTTAAGGTTGTGCTCTGAAACAGGATGCCCTGGGCTGATGGAAGATGCAGTCATTTTGTGTGGACATGGATGGTCTTACAGATGTGGTGGAGCACACACCCCTGACAGTCTGACACTGTGCTCACCCTGCTTTATGTACTTTTGGTCAGCTGAGGTCTGCTTTCATGTGCCCTTAACATCTCAGTGCGTCACTCTGAGCTTGCTGTCAGAAATAGCAGCCATAGACCTGCCCCCTAAGACCAAATACTCATGACGTGTGAGGTACAGTAAAGGGGAGGTTCTGTATTCCCCGTATTATCTACATCATTTACTCTTATCTAAAGCTCAGTGATCCACAGTGTGTTGTTTAGAACATAGACAGGAAGTACGGTGACACATTGCACAGGAAAATGATGTACACATCTGCTTTCCGTAGATTGCTTGAAAGTTAAAACGGGAAATGGGTTTTTACTTCTGAGCATGGCTTCTTGTTGTCGTTGCTATTTTGTAGAAGCCAAAAGGCAGTTATTTGTAGTGAAGCTACCATGATTTAATTTTTTTTTTTATGGAATGGGGGATACTAAAATTTAATCCCCTAATGGGTATTTTTGTCGTTTAAAGTACTAATTAAAGGGCCTGTATTAGATTTTGGATTTCTGACACGTTGACTTTGACAGAAAATACTGTCTGGGATAGTCGGAGCTCACAGGCAGTTGCCTCCACATGGCTCTCGATGATGAAGTCCTTTGTCCTGGGTAGTCGCTTCCTTATGGTTTCCATCAATCAATATACCTTTTAAATCATATTGGCCATATCATCTAGTCTTTTTTTATTCACCAGTAGCTGCTTTTATACTTTAAGTGTATATATAGTATATTTATGCTTTAACTGCATAGAGTAGAGTATTTTTTTTTCTGAACAAAAAGAAATGAGTCAGGTACAGGCCCTTTGGGCAGAAATTTAAAGTGTAACCTAAAATCATGAGATACATGTTTCTGTTCAGCCTACATAATGCTACTGGAGGCCCAGCCCTGACATCTGAGAACTCGGGGACATGCTAACATGCCAACCACTCATTTTTATATAGACTCTGAAGCATCAGACAGACCACTGGCTTTGTTGTAAACTAATTTTCAACCCAGGGAGTTAAAACAATGTTGAAGTTGTTTAATTATCAATATACCCTGCGATGTTTAATCTTTGGTGCTGTCTTGCTGTGATCTGGATTTTAGACCTTTTGTTTTTTACATTTAATTTTCCAACATCTTTATCCAGATGACTTATATTTGTAATTCTTTTTTAGATACTAAATATTTTTAGTAATCGATTCATTTACAATAGAATGTAGGTGGCTGCTTTTTCATTCCCCTATTTTACTGAATAACACTCTCCCA